CCTGACACAGGTGGCTGAGCACAGAAGGGATAGAATCTTTGTTCAAGGATGGCTGAGTCCAGACATGCCAGCCTTGGTGCTTGGTGTGACTCAGAAGTCATGGGCCTGAAGGGGGGTTGGATGATTGTCTCTGACACAAGAAATCTGAGCCAGCAAGGCGAATGGGACAGCTTTGGCCAAGCTTCCTGGAGGCTTCCTCTGACCCTAAAGTGGGAAAAAGCTAGAACCCAAGACACAAAGAGACTCTAACTGACTTCCTACAAATCTAGGCAGGACACCTATTAAAGGTGGAGAGCAGACACGGCCAGCAGGTCTCAGGCCACTGTGCAGCAATGCTCACCCAGGGTGTGTCTTGTCTCTGGATGCCTTGGAGAGATGTTCACTGGCCTCATCTCTTTGCCTGGGCCACTTGTTATGTCCACAGGTGGCTCCGACAGAGACTGGGCATCCGGGGACTGAGCATCCCCAAATCAAGTAATCTCATGAGACCTTTGGCCATGGAGTCACAAACCACTCACATGCTTTTATTTTTATTAAGCCTACGTATAGTTTAATGATTAAATGGATTTCACAAAGCTGGAGCAGAACTTCTGATCTCTTTTACCCCTTCTAGTTGATCCCGTTTATAATTTTTGTCCGTATCTATCTGTATTATTTTGGTTTTGAATGATGCCCACTAATTTCTCTCTATGTAAATTTTATGTCCACCAGGCTGGACACAACACAGTCTAACTGCTTAGGGTTAGCTTTAGGTACGGTCAGTGGAGTTACCCTTCTGCACCAATGACTGATCATGCCCAGCATGCTCTTGTTAGCTGGGATTTGTTCTACCTTAGCAATCCCATTAATTAAAAAAAAAAAAAAAAAGACATTTTTAAAAAATTCAGTTTCTTAAGATGTACACCCACCTTTACCTTGTATGTTGGTTCTCCTTGAATCTGGTGTCTAGGATTGCTTTCTTGTTTGAAATCAAACCCTATAATTTCTTTTAGTGGAGGTGTTAGGTCTCGAACCTAAGACAAAAGCTGAGATGCCTGTTAGTAGATTGCAGATGAAAGCTGAAGCTGGCTGGCCGCCAGGTTCTCCCACCATCCCTCAGTTCCTATCTCTTATAGGCTATGGCAGGCGCACACCCCGCCTCTACCTGAACTCTTCAGCCCAGCTGCCCTTCCCTCTATAATCCAGTCATTTTGGTCACCCGTTTTGGGGGGCATTTTACCTCTTGGTCAGTCTCTTGGCTGAGGCCACCCCTCTTGGCCTCCTGGTGAGCAGCTCCTGTCTTGCTTCCCCCCCCTCCTCACATGATGGAGCTCAGGGAGGCTGTGTTCACTATGGACTCTCCCAGATGTCTCTGCCGGTCCTCTCCTTTATATCTATAATAAAGCCTCAACTCTTAGGAGCAGTCATGTCCTCCTTTTTATTTCTTTCATTCAGGAGGGAGATCAGTTAACTCACTTTTGAGTGAAAGTCATTTCACCTGATTATTTTGCCACGTATGCAATTCCGATTGTTTTCTCTCAGCACATTGCAAAAGCTGGTCTGCTGTCTTTTTGTTGGTTTCCTTTGTTGTGGTGGGTTTGTTTTTTTTTTTTTTTTTTTTTTTATTATTTCTTCTGGTAGATAATGTTCTGAGTTTTTTTGTTTTTGTTTTTTTCTGGGTGCGTTTTAGTTAAAAGCTTCTGTGGATTTTTGCTGGTTTACTATGATAGCAATATATATCAACTAACTCACACACACACATGCACATACACAGAGAGAGAGGGAGAGACAGAAAGAGAGAGAGAGAGATACTCTAGAATTTTGTTACAATTCCTTAGCTTGAAGATTTATGCTTTCCATTGGTTCTGGAAAATTCTCAGCCGTTATCTTTGTGAATATTGACCTTTGACCTTTCCTTTTCTTCTTCTAGAACTCTAATTAGGGATTGGAGACATGGCTCATACATTAAGAGAGATTGCTGATCTTTCAGGGGACCTAAGTTTGGTCCCCAGTACCTATGATAAGCGACTCATAGCTACCTGTAACTCTAGCTCCAGGGTATACTATGCACGCCCACCCCCACACAAATGAAAAATAATTTAAAAATAAAACTCCAGTTAGATATGTGTTCGGGTTCTTCTTCATTTAATTTATTTTTGGATTTTTTTGAGATAGGGTTTCTCTGTGTAACCTTGGCTATCCTGGAACTCGAATTATAGTCCAGGCTGGCCTTGAACTCACAGAGCTCTGCCTGCCTTTGCCTCCCAAGTACTTCTATTAAAGGTGTGTGCCACCACTGCCCAGCTTTGGCTTTTTTTTTTCTAATTTGCTCAATTTTTGTCTATAATTAATTTCTGTCTTTTTACCTGATTCTTAACATTCTCTTATCTTTTTTTTTTTTTTTTAAATTTAATTAGCTGTGTGCCCATGTGTCTCTGCAGGAGTATGTTTAGTCGTACATATCTTCTTCGATGATTCTAGTATTTGAAATCTTATTTGACTTGCTGACGTTTGTTCATGAATGGCTTGCTTATTCTGGTATGTTTGAGGTTTTCTTGTCTTACTGCTATGTCTTACTAATAAGTGTTTTTGTTAATAAATGACAGAAATTGATCTGAAAGTATGTTCGTGCTGAGAGTGTTTGCATAGTTTTGCCAGGACCCTCAAGGCACTGGGAGGGTCGCTCCTCAGCTCCCCATTGTTCACGGGTACATGGAGGGGGGCTGCATACCTCTTTAAATCACTTTTTAAAAACAGTCTTTTTTAGTGTCTCCACAAGACCACTCTTGAGGTTTGGATCATGTAGGGGTTGGAAGTCGTGCTGCACACCCTCGGAAGGTTGGCTTTGGGCTTATAGACTTTGGATTGTGATTGCTTTTAGCTTTCATCTTAAACCAAGCTTGAAGGGCCAGGTTTCCTGGCTGTCCCTCTGTGGGTTAGTCTCTATTTGGCTTTTGTCCAGGGTCTAGTCCTTCTGATTCCAAGGCTGCACTGTGGTTTCCCTTTAGACCCCTGGTGAGTTTGCACTGTCTACCTCCTGCAGCCCTGTGGCCAGCAGAAGGTTAAGGTTACAGATGTTGAAGAAGTGTCACCGTTAGTCTTTACACACTTTTCTCTGCTCTTGGTCTGATTTCCTTATTTACCAGCTTGGAAGTACATTTAGGAATTTATGTATGTATGTATGTATGTATGTATGTATGTATATGTATATGTATATATCAGCATTTTTAGCTGTTGATCATGGCAGGATTATTGAGGACACTGCAGGGGACTATTGTCAGCCTTGTGGTTTTATTTATAGCGTCTATTTTTCCATTCTTACATCTTTCTTTAGTCTGCTTTCAGGGAGATAGCATGATTCAGTGTGAGCAGTGTTCTGTCTGCCTGTGGCCACTCTTTTCCTACAGTGGAACTCCTTCAGCTGCTTAGAGTCTGGGATTTCCACGCCTATCCTCCCAAGAAGGGGCTATGACTACCTTCTCTGAGGCCAGCCACACTTTCCAGTGACTGGGCCTCTGCCTTTTTTTTTTTTTTTTTTTTAGGTTCTGATGGAGCTAAATTTATTATCTTCCTTTTGTTCCTGTCCTCCTAGCCTTTGGGGCATCCTTCTGTCTTTCTGCAACTCCTTTTTTCTCATTTCCTTTGAGACTAATTTTTGTTACTGTGTCCAATTAATCAAGAGGGTCGAGAAAGCACCTTTATGCCTCGGTCCCTTCGCCTTTTCTGGGGGAAGCCTCTGTAGCAGAGCAAGAATAAGACAAGCATACCCTGTGGGCCACTGCCATTCATAACCTTAGGGACTGTCTGCCTACCTCTGGCAACACCCTCCCGCAGCCAACTTGTATCTTACTATGGGCCTTGCCTGGCAGGCTGGGTCCCCAAAGGAGCCCATGTGCCCTCTCCTGCAGGAGGCCTCTGTTAATTATCACCTCCAGGAAAGAGAATCAGGTCATGAACAGTAATTCTCAAGGAATTGGCAGAGGAAATAACTAACTCCATTAGAAAATTCTCAGAATCTCATAGGACAATTTGTGTAATCGCCCTACCCACCTGAAAAAGCTGAGCAATTGGCCATTTTTCCAGGAGACATGGGTTTGATTCCCAGCACCCACATAGCAGCTCACAACCATCTGTAACTCAGGTCCCAGGGGATCCTATGCTTCTTCTGGCCTCCAAGGGTACAGACACGAAAGTGACATACAGACACACGTGCAGGCAAAACCCACACACATGAAGAAGGGGGCAATAAAATATTAACTGGACTTAACTGTTTGTTTACTACAAAAGTGTAATTACTATCTTGATACTTCTTATATCAAGGTCATATTGAAATGATATTTTCAATATGTTGAATAAAATAAAATATTTCACATATGTGTTTTAAAGTGGCTACCAAAGTTAATTTTACAAATTGTGGCTTTATCTCACTTAATTCTGTGGGCAGTACTAATCTAAAAGATAACTTGTTCTTTTTGCTTGTTTGGTATATTTAGATACAAATGATAGTTCTGCCTGCCTGCGGGCTCTGCTTATCAGATGGTTTGACATTTTTGCCTTGGCTTATAAAGATAGAAATGACTTCATTTACTTCCCACTGAGAATTTTCCATGCTTCCCCAGGCTCCAGTCCTGAGCACAAAGAGAAATATTCTCAAATCAGGAAAATAAAAATAGGGGGTTATAAAGATTTAAATTTTCAATTAATACGTGTGCACATGTGTGTGGATGTGTAATACATGTGTGTGCAGGTGCCCTCAGAGGCCAGAAGAGGGCGTCAGAGTCCCTGAAGTGAGAGAGCTAGGATTTGTGAGCCCCTCATTGTGGATGCTGGGGTGGACTCCAGTACTCTGCACAAGAGCATCGAGTGTTCTTAACTGTGGAGCCACCTCCCCCCCCCCCAAATGGAGCTTTTAAGAAGCTGGCAACAACCTCCAAAGTTCCATTTGGGGTGCTAAAACTTCCTTCGTGTGTACTTTTCAGAGACCATTGAGTCCTCACTGGTGCATTCGCTTGCCATTGCAGCCACTGCGAGGAGCCATTGGACAGAAAGTAACAACACCGAACCCCATATAGGAAACACCCCCTTTTATCCGAGTCAAGAGGACGATTCAGGTTCCAGAAAGGGGACGGCAGCGCAGACTGGCAGAGTGAGCCACAGCTCTTCGGGAGCCCCAGAAAGCCCCTCCTTCCTACCTGAGTCAAGTGCTGAGGGGAGGGGCAAGTCTTCCAGCAGACCTGGCATCACTGCTCTGCAGGCTGGATGCTCGCCTGAGGTCACCATGGCCCTGGCCGCCCACGGCAGCTCCTTGTGTGAGTGTGTGTCATGATGCTCATTTATATACACCCTATCCTAGAAAACAAACCTTCTGCCCCCTTCCCACCCCACCCCCACATTCACAGCAGCGGTGTCCATTTAGAGGTTCTGCATGGGGTGGACCAGGCAAGTCCCGCCCCCCCCCAGAGCCATGCTTGTAAAGTCAGACCAGGGAGGGTGCTGATTTGCTCAGCATCCCGATGTGTCCTTTGATATCTGTGCTCCCTGGCAGTCTAAATTCATGCCACCTCCCTGCTCCCTCGCTCCTGTCATGCAGTCATGCATCCCAAGGGCTGGGAAGGATGGCGAGGCTTTGTTTGTGTCGATGGAATTTGACTGGTTCTTGCTGCCCCGTCTGCACAGTTGGTAACTTAGTATTTCCAGCAAAAGGCTTCAAAAAGAGGCAGCAATTCTGTAAGTACAGCTCAACCTGAGGACGAAGACAAAGCAAAGTAGTGCTAATTAGGCACACACCTACATAGCAACAAGCCTGCTCTCTCTAGCCTTCCAGCAGCCCTCGGAGGCCACGTTGTTCTCTATTTAAGGTTTTGGAAACTGAAGCTCGGAGACTAATTAACCCAGTATGTGGAGAGCAGGCAACAGGTTCCCAAGTGAGGAGAGCTGAAGTCTGTGTTGAGTGAGTGGGCATGACAGCTCGGGAATGGGGTGCCCAGTGTGAGTGAAGAGAAAAGGGAGAGAGAAACATGTGGCTTCCTGTGGGGTATCAGTGCCCGAGTCCTCCCTGGGAGAGTTACAGAGCAGTGGGCAGGACGGCTAGCTCTATGGAGAGCGTAGGAACAATGATGGAATACTTTGCAAGCCAGGCAGTTTCTACTTGGTGTGGTGGGAAGACTCACTGAAGGGTTTTGCACAACAGAGTGATAGTGTTAAGACAGAGTGAGAGAGGATCCATCTGGCAGCCAGCCTAAGAGATGTCTAATATGGGAGCAAAGGGGACCCGAAGTGAGCTGGACCATTCAGATGGACAGCCAGGAGGCAGGTGAAGGTGCTGAGGAATCAGTCAGCAAAGAGTTAACACAGGAGGGGCTGGGACCAACCCAAATGGGCACAAGCCCTGGATTCAGTCCCTGGCACCATATAAACCACACCAGCGTTCAGAAGGTGGAGGCAGGAGGATCAGAAGTTCAAGCTCAGCCACTAAAATGACTTCTCTACCAGACCCAACTTACAGCACCCACATTGGGTGGCTCACAGCCACCAGTACTCTGGCTCCAAGGGATTCAGTGTTCTTCTGGCTACCATAGGCGTGCATGTGTGCACGTGCACACACATACACCTAAAAATATATCTTTAAAAAAATTGTTAAAAGTCATCCTTAAGTATGAGAACCCACCTCAAAAATTAAAATCAAAAAAGTGAATTCAAGGCCAGCCAGCCTAGTCTACATGGTGAGACCCTATCTCCAAAAAAAAAAAAAAAAAAAAAAAAAAATCCATATCAACAGAAGGAAGGTTAGTGAGGACCTCACAGTAGAGGCGGAAGCCATTGAAGATGACTTCCTGGTTTCATACCCTTGTGACAGGTCTGACTAGAGGCACTCAGTTCTGTCTATGAATGAGGTTGCAGAGCTCAATACCCCTGCACATGATACTCTCTGGTTTGGGAATTCTGCATACATTGAATTCTGGGCCATTCTGGGGCCCTTTGCAGAATGTCAGGATAAGTCTTCATAGTCCAACATTGATCTCTAATTCTAGACCAGCTAAGGCTTAGCACTGGCGTGCTTCGTTGCTGATAGTTCCTCCCCTAAGGAGGTATTATGATAAAGCTCCAAGGGAACTTTGCCGATGCCATGGCAGGCGAGGGTGACTGAGGCGGAGGGACAGGCAGACGGAGCTTAAGTGAGAAGTTTTATTAGAAAGGGGGAGAGGGGGTAAAAGAAAAGAGGTAAAGAGACACAGAGAGAGGACAGAAGAGAAGAGGGAGACAGGAAAAGTCCTGTCTACCCAAAGGCAATCACGGGGAAGAGAGTGGCAAAGACAGTGGGAAGAGAGCTGGAAAAGAGAGCGTAAGTGGGCGGAGTCTTTCTTTTAAAGGGTCCTTTGCACCTGCATGCAGACAACACAATCATGGAACCCTGGGCTGACCGTGGCACTGCCTGAGTGCATTCTACCAGGTGACAGGGGCAGGCCAGCATAATGCCTGAATCCTTACAGGAGGGCCATTGGTGGGGTAAAAAGGTCTTTGGCTGCTGATTTCTTTTGCAGTTCATTTTTCCTAGAATGAATTACTCTTCCTGCCTTCTCCTCACATCTGTGTATATCATGGAGGCTGAAGTTGGACCCAATAGAGATAATGAGGCATTTGGAAGTCCACTGGTGGGATTTTAATTGTTGTTGTCTGGCTTTCAGCCTTGGAGAGCCTTTCCCAGTCACCCAGCAGTTCCAGGTCAGAAGGAAGAATCAGCTCTTCTCAAATACAGAGTGGAATATTTCCGGGCTTGCTGGAGAGGGTGAGGGAGCACCCAGGAGAAGGGACTGTGCACACGCAAGTGGCTGGCACTTGGGTCTCCAGCCAAGCCTCCCTTCCTGCTTTGGAACTTGGGGAGTCAACCATGCTCTCCCCGAAGAGAAGTTCATCAGGCCAGGAGCACTCCAGGCAACAATTCTCTTGGACCCAGAGCCGACCACCTCCCTCAGACCATTCCTCATGTGAGTACTCCTGTCCCCAGGCCATCCCTCCAATTCCAAAATAATCCCAAAATGATTAGCTGGTTAAGAATGTGTCAGGCTAAGAGGGGAAGCAAAGGAAGATTTAAAATCCATTCCTCCCATGCCACGTGCTTTGGGTGGAAGTGCATCTGTGTAGTTTATCTTAATATTGAGGTTCATGCTCAAAACACGTTTTAACTGTATATGAAGGAAAATGTCAGCCAGTCTGGTGGCTCCTGTGTTCCCCTCCTCCTGTCTCCCCCTTCTCTTTTCCTCCCCTCCTCTGTACACACATGCAACAAAGATTAAGTGTGACTAATGCGTGCTTACAGGAGAGCATGTGCCAGGGCACTTGAATGAAATGCCAGCCAGACACCGTTATACCTTTTGATTAGCAGCTTGAGTTTTGTTTGTTTATTTTTGCAAAGGCAATTTCTTTAATGGCAGAGAAAATAGGTTCGTAATATTTTCCTGGCATTGTTTCGAATGAAATAGCCTGCACAGTTCAAGTGTTTGCATGGCGTTGGTTAGGCACTGTGGCTGTGGAGAGCTGCCCTGGCCATTCTGCCATGCTGTTTCGTACACACTAGCCTCAACTAAGCGATTCTGCTCCACAAGTGTTTCTTCATTGTAGACCTCTATGCCACCCATTTGTCGTTGCAGTTCATCCTCTTGAGGACTCTTCTAGAACAATGTTCAGTAGCTAAGAACTGAGGGCGTGTGCCCAGATTCCCCCAGGAGGCTCATCTGGGCCCTCTGCAGGCTGTTCAGGTTGTTTTTAGCCTTGGGCTATGGCAAGCATGACAGAGTGGCAGGATTTGCACTTTCAAATCCTTTTAAGTCAGAGGAGTTTTTGTTTTGTTTTGTTTTTATTTTTTAAAATAAATATAGCATTTAATTATTCTTTGAGAATTTCATGCATGCATACAGTATATTTCTATCATGTTTGCCCCCTCCTATAACCACCATCCAGCTCTCCAGGCTCCTCAGATCACCACTATTTCATAACCATGCCTATCTTCCCTCCCTCCCTTCCTCCCTCTTTCCTTCCTTCCTTCCATCCATCCATCCATCCATCTGTCCATCCATCCATCCATCCCTTCTTCCCTATGGATCAAGGCTTGCTGTCCATAAATGCATGGGTGTGTGCCCATTCATTGGAGCACAGTCAACCCACAACAGACCATACATCCCTCTTAAAGAAAACTGACCCTCCTCCCCAAGCAACCATCAGCTATCAATAGCCCAATACTCAGACCAAGAAGGTTAGTGATACCCCTCACAGGGTGTGCACATAGGTGACCAGCTAAGGGCATCCAGGCAAGGAATCAGATGATCTGAAAGGTGGCAGCGTTTGGTGGCCCATACACACTCATCTTGTCATCTGGACCCTCCTTTACTGCCACCTAGCTACACATGCATGTGGTGCTGGTTGGGTTTCTGTGAACCTGACACAAACTAGTGTTATCTGGGAAGAGGGAACCTCAACTGAGAAAATGCCTCCATCATATTGGCCTGTAGGCAAATCTGTAGGGCATTTTTTTAAAAAATGATTGATGTAGAAGGGACCAACCCATTGCTGATGGTGCCATCCCTGGACTGGTGGTCCTGGGTTCTATAAGAAAGCAGGCTAAGCCAGCCATGAGGAGCAAGCCAGTAAGCAGCACTCCTCCGTGGTTCTATTTCAGTTCTAGCCTCAGTGATGATAAAATAAATTGCTTTGGCCGTTATGTTATTATAGCAATAGAACACAAACTACAACACCCTGTTCAGTTCAGCCTCTTCCACACCCTGGGCAGCCAGGAGTTAATCTGTTTCTGAATAGAGACTCTATCTTTCAGCATTGGAGCAGGCCCAGGGAGATGAGCCAGGGGTTACAAGAAAGTCCAGAATGCATTGCTCTTCATTCACCCTCTCCAGCTTCCGCCTCTCTAGACTTCCCATAGTCTCTTTGATGATCATACACTGCTGTTTGATCATGGGGTGGGGGCGGGGCCATCAGCAAAGCAACACTTGGCCTGGGTGAGGAGGAGAGGAAGCTCTTCTGAAGGCAGAAATGTGTATGTTGAATTGTGTGAGAGCGACCACAATTGAGCACTAAATTTAGTATGAGCTTCCTGGAAATGGGGTACAAAGGGAACCGGGTGGGGCATGCGATTGTTGTCGGACGAAGTAAGCATCCAGTTTAATCCATAGGCATGAATGTTTCGGGGGTAGTAAGTAATTCCAAGAGGGATATTTATATAAGGAATGCTTTCCATTGCCGGTTTGTGAGACTTGCACTAATGTTCTTTGAAGGTGACATTTGCAGAGCCTCAGTAAGAGCTCTGCAATAATGGGTCTTGACTTACAGAAGTCTTTCCTGTGGGCAGCTGAGCTGATGTGGTCCAGGTAAATTGCTTTGTGGTGATTTCACTTTGTGAAGTGAGAGAACATTAGTAACTTGAAAAATTGTGGATTTAGTCTGTCTTGTTCTAACACCAGCTGCCTCAGCAATGCTTCTGGGAAGTTCTGGATAACAGTCAAGGGCAAGCAATGTGATGGATGGATGGTACCTGAGGCTCTGAGGTCTTGTCCTGTGACTGGAGAGTGACACATGGCCTGTTACAAAGACTAGGAACTTTACTCAGGCCTTGTCCCGGTGGGTGGTACTCCATTGTTGACATTTTATTTAATTTTTTATTAGATTTATTTATTTATATTTATCTGTTGTGTAGAGGAGTGCATGCACTATAGTGTGTTGGGGCCAGAGAACCACGTGTAGGAGTCTGTTCTTCTCTTTCCATCACATAGGACAAACCTTGTCAGGTTTGATGGCAAGTGTCTTTACTAGCTGAGCTATCTCACCAGCTGGGTTTTCCTTCCTCCCCTTTCCCTCTCCCCCGTCCCCTTCTCTCTCCCTTTTTTCTGGTTCAGACTCAGGTTTCCCTTTTGTGAATGACTGCTTCAGGGTGGCCACCCAAGAACGATCACAAATGCCAGCTCACTGATTAGAAGTGTAGTGAGTTTCTTCCTAGCTTGTGCAGCAGATGCCCATGTGGGATCACACACATGAATTAGTTAGACAAGCATTCCCTTTTTCATATATATAATTTTTCTTATTTTACATATCGATCCCAGTTCCTTCTCCCTCTCTCCCCTCTCTCCCTCCCATGCTCCCTGACCCTCCTTTCATACCCCCCCACTTCATGGTGAGGGTGATGCCTTCCAGGAGGGATCATCAAAATCTGTGAAGTCATTTGGAGTAGGGACTAGGCCCTCCCTCCTGTCTCTAGGCTAAGGGAGTATCCCTTCATGGGGAATGTGTTCCCAAAGTCATTTCGTGCACCAGGGATACATCCTGGTTCCACTGTCAGAGGGCCCTTAGGCCTTCTAACTGAGAACCATGTTCAGAGGTCTGAGTTGGTCCAATGCTTGTTTCCCAGCTATCAGTCTGGGGGGTTCATGAGCTCCCCCTTGTTCACGTCAGCTGTCTCTGTGGGTTCCTGTAGTCTGCCTTGACCCCCCCCTTTTTTTAAATCATTCCTCCCTCTGCAGCTGGATTCCAGGAGATCAGCTCAGTGTTTAGCTATTGTTTCTGTTTCCATCAGCTACTTGATGAGGGCTCTATGGTGGTATATAAGTTAGTTATCAATCTCATCATCAGGGAAGGACATATAAGGTAACCTTTCCACTGTTGCTCAGATTGTTAGTTGGGGGTCATCCTTGTAGGTCTCTGGACATTTCTCTAGAGTCAGTTTTCTCTTCAGACCCATAACAGTTCCCTGTATTATGGTATATCTTCTCTCTCTCTCTCTCTCTCTCTCTCTCTCTCATCTATCCATCCTTCGACTCAATTTTCCTGGTCCCACATGTTCTCCTCTCCTCCCCTTCTCTTTCTCCTAACTCCTTCTTCACTCACTGCTCCCCCCCCCCCAATATGCTCAGGAGATCTTGTTCCTTTCGCCTTCTGTGAGGGACCTTGTAAGAATCTCTTAGGTTCCTTCCTGTATCCTAGCTTCTCTGGCAGTGTGAATAATAGGCTGGTGATCCTTTGCTCTATATCTACAATCCTTATATGAGTGAGTGCATACCATGTTCCTCTTCTTCTGCATTCCCTTTTCATTCAAGGCACTGCTTTGCAGAAGTATTAACTGTGAGGACAAAGTGAGATGTGTGTATAAGGCACTCAACACAATGCCTAAGGCATTGCAGCTGCTCACTTCAGGGTAGCTGCTTTGTTCTGTTTAGTTGGGTTTTTTAAATAATTTATTGACTTATTTAATGTTCATTGATGTTTTGCCTGCATGTATGTCTGTGAGAGGGTGTGGAGAAGCCCTGGCGTTACAGATAGCTGTGAGCTGCTATGTGGATACTGGGAATTGAACCTGGGTTTCCTGGAAGAACAGACAGTGCTCTTAAGTGCTGAGCCATCTCTCCAGCCACAATTGGGTTGAGTTTTGAGACTGAGTCTTGTTCTTTTGTTTTTTGTTTGTGTTGCAGCAAGGCTGGATGCCTTTGCATCCACATCTTTCTAGTCCCTTGTCTCTATGGATAGCCTGCACCTTTGCCTGCATCTGTTTTCATTAAGGTCCAGTCACCAGAACAGCAGATTGTGCTCCTGGTGTCAGGGGGTCTGTGGTTTTGCAGGAGAATAAAAGGAAACTTCTCTTTCCTTTTCTTTCTCTCTGACTATGTCTAAAGTCTATTTGTGCTTTTGGCCACAACTGCACACAAGAATGGTATTCAGAGAACGTTTTATAACAGCAGATTCCTTTTTTTCCCTTTTTGGAGCCCATGATTGACAGCTGGAAGCTGTCATGATATAGGCCCACACAGCTCTTTACTGCTGTTGGCTTCAGGTGGAAAAGAAAACAATGCACCTTCTTTCCTTGCCCCTTCATTTTGTTCCCCAGGCTTTCCTGCACTTAGTTCTTGCCAAGAACTATTTCATGGAGCTGGTATTTGAACTCAGGGCCTCATGCTTGTTAAGTGAGTTTTCTACCACTGAGCTGCATCCTCAGTGTGGAGCTTTAAGGTAGCTTCTAGAGGTCAGGTCTTAAGTACCTCTGGAAAGTTTCCCAATGGAAGGAAGCTCTCAGCCAGACATCTATGAGCAGACCATGTGTTCTAACCTATGGTATATATCTGAATCTTTGAGGCTCTGACAGTTATCTGAGGGCAGCCACCTGTTTCATGGATCAGGGAAAAAAAAAAGGTTCCCAGCCTAGAGTCTTTGTTCTCCTGGAGTGCCTGCTCAAGTATTACACTGGTTTGAAGACATCACTCTAAAGCTTAGTGAGATGAAGTAACAATAATGAAGTCTGTGAGCTTCTAGGTGAAATTAAGTAAAATCCCTGGAGCAGTAATGCATTCTCCTGTTGGTTAGTAGTTCTGTCAATGAATGTAGTTGGATGGCTTTTCAAAGCATAAGCTTTATTTATGGTGGCCACGATTTAGGAACTAGTAAGGAGGCTTTGGGGGTGACCATTGGGAACTACTGTCCTAGGCTGTGTCTTGACTGTGTTCTGCCAGCCCCAGTGCTGACTGAGGGACTGCACACCCTCTACGGGCTCAAAATTGGTTCACAGTATGGACTGGGTTCAAATAGCATTTGAACAAAAGGGTTACAGTGCTTAAAGCAAACCGGCAGCAGTAGCCTTATCACGGTGGCCTGTGTTGTAGAATTCCTACAGCAACTGTGGAATGCAGTTCCTCTATAGAAAACAAGATAGATTATTTCTTTGGGTTTCTCCTGTCTTCCTTTTAGCTTGCATAGAAAGCTTAGCTCGTGTATGGTGAGTGAACTAACTGTGTCTCTAGCCAGCTCTGAGACTTAGAACTGGTGAGGAGAAAATGAAGGAGGGTCTCCTAGTTGCACTTACTTGTATCATCATGTTACAAGAGTCTACTTTGTATCATATCCATGGTATTCAGATACACATCTGAATTCAGATACACATCAAACATAATAAGTATATTTGTACCTACATTAGCCATTCAAGTAGTTTTGAAGCACATTTTCTTCTGTTTTAGCATCTGGAAGTATAAAGAATGTTAACAACTCCACCGATCCCCAAAGCCCATCAGTCACCCAGACAAAGATTACACATGTCACCAACACATTCGCTAATGGTGTCCCAAGAATGCTCCGGTCTTTGACTGTCAGTGTGGAACCTATAAACGAGAGAGAGAGTTTCCATGAGCATTCCAGAATTGCCATAACTTCAGCCTCAGTCCATTCTTCACCCTCTGTGGTTGACTCAAGGACAGACAGCAGACTGACTGAGAGTCTAGGAGATGGAGAAGGCATTGAGCCATCTACAGAAAATGGACTTGGACTTCCATCCATACACTGGCAAAGTGATTCCCCCAGTAAGTAGTTCACCTTTATTTGAATTGTGGGCATTTTATATAATTGGGCGTTCTTAGGGAGTCTCCTTGAGACCATTTGCAGTCTGAAGAAAAGTGTCCCTGATGACATCAGATCCTTGTCTGCTCTATCCCAAGATTGTATTTTTATCTTTGGTTGTGAACAAATGCCAGGCCTAAGATGAGAACACCAAGATGTGGAGGGCTTAAGTAAAGCAAACACAGCTTTCTCAGGAGAGTGGAGACCTCAGCCTCGGGACTCTCTCTCAGTTTGATCCGTCTTCATTCTATAATGTCATCTTTAAAGTGAGACCCTGACCTGCTCCTCACAGCTGGTGGCTTCAGTGATTTTATGTATAGATCATCTTTATAAATAAGTTGTCAGACATAAATATATTTCCCAAATGCATAGCTTGGCTTACTCCTTATAGTTTATTTTATTATACATCAGAAGTAGAAGAATGTTTATCAATGTTCCAGTTGGTTTTTAGGAAAACACTCTGCCTACAGTATTTATGCACATTGAACTTGCTGGATGTAATGACTGCTCCCTTGAACTACTTTTCAAGGGATAGAGAAACACTCAAGCCTATAAATTACTGTTTGCTCATGCTGTTCTCAAGTCTCCTGTCCATAACTTTTATTTTCAATATTTCTATAATGAAGACATCCAATAATTTTAGAAAAATTTAGAACATGGTGAAGCTTACAGGGTGGCCCATATAAACACTTGGCTGAGGGAAGCTTGCCTTAGAGGGACTCCATCTTAGTTGTTAAGCATCTTTTCTGGGTCCACTAATGGCCTCCCCTCCCCCCCAATATCTTACAGCCTTTGGAGGACATCAGCTTGCCAGCAGCTGGGAACTGGGAAATGGAAGTGCCATACCTCTGACTGAGACGGCGTTTAGGTCAGTCCCCTCCATTGGTGGTGGAGAGAGCACAGGACAGTGGTTCCCCAGTGAGAGCAAAACATCTACAGATACAGCAGAGAGCTCCGATTTGCATCCAGACGTTGGGAGCACGCGGGGTTTGACACAGTTCGCACACACTGCACAACAGCCCCGAAATGGTGGCTCGGGGTTGGGTGGGAAGAGTTACTCAGAGCCTTCATCTACATCTTCCTCGGAAAGTCTGGATTCCTCAGCACCACATGAAGGACATTCAAGTGAGTTCTTACCTCGTGGAAGTATACCACAGGGACTTAGGGTGTGTCTGCTCCTATGACCTTCTAAAGCCTGCATTAGGAAAGTAATTGTACTGGTCCCAGGCCATTCTTTTAGCTGGTTAATACAAGTATGCCTACATGTCCCATCCTTTTTGGTACATCCCAACTCTCTCTCTAGGGTGCATGCATATGCGTAAATGTGTGTGCAGGTGTGCAAGGGCACACATGCAAATGGAGGCCATCGGTCAGCCTCCGGTATGTACTTCAGAAGCTATCCGCTTCATTCTTTAGACAAGTCTCTCACTTAGATTTGGGGCTCACTAATTAAATAAGGCTGCCCCCATGTCCTGGAGCTTACAGGTACTTGTGGCCATGCTCAGCTTTTTAATTGAGTGTTAAGGATTTGAACTCCAGTCTCATACTTGCACAGCAAAGCTTTTGATGCCACCTCACCTCCCCTTCCTCATATAGAATGGTGGGGGGGCTTCTGTGTCCATGCCCTCTCATGGTGTATAGCCTGCCCCAAACCCCGATACCTCCTCGTCACAGAACTTCTGGACATTTCCTGTGGAAGCAATCTTATCATATATGGACTTTTTGTGTATTTAACTTTACATGGCCTCAAGATTCACCAAGCATGCATTTGTCTTTCTGAATGATGTTCCATCAGGGATCCACTATTATTAATAGTGTCCCTATGATTGTTCAGGAACACATTTTATTCTGTCTTGGAATTACACGGGAATTACAATAGTTACAAGTTATACAGTAGTATCTTGTTTTTCAAGACAGTGTTTCCTCTGTGTAACAGCCTTCCCTGTCCTGAACTTGCTCTGTAGCCCAGGCTGGCCTCCAACTCACAGTGATCCACCTGCCTCTGCCTTCTTAGTGCTGGGTTTAAAGGTATGAGCCACGACCATTGCCTGGCTAGTAGTATCCTTTTTAAGCTTTTGAGAAACTCCCAAACTATTTTCCAAAGTGTGTGTGTGTGTGTGTGCACATATGTGTAGATGATGGTATAAATGTGCATTTCCCAGTTCATTATCCTAGTAATAATGAACATCTATTCATACAATCCTTCCACGTGTATATCTTCTTTGAAGATACCTATTTGAATATTTTGACTGTTTAAAAATTAAGCTATCATTTTGCTCATTGAGTATAAAGGGTTTTGGAGTTTTGTTTGTTTGTTTTGTATATTCTGGACTCTAATTCCTTTTGATTTGTGTAATTTGTGGCCACTTTCTCCCATTTTGTGATTTGTAAGTTTGTACTTTTTAAAGTATTTATTTTTACTTTATGTGCATTTGGGTTATGCCTGGATTTGTGTTTATGTGAGAGTGTCAGATGGCCTGGAGCTGAAGTTACAACAGTTGTGGGCTGCCATGTGGGAGCTGGAGGAGCAGCCAGTGCTCTTAACTGCTGAGCCATCTCTCTAGCCTGTCATTCTTACTTTATGATGATATTATTGGAGAATGAATGTTTTTAACTTTGGTGAAGTCTAATACGAACATTTTAGAACATTTGGCATTTGTTTTGTGGGCCTTTGTTGTTGTTTTATTTTCTTTAAATAGTGATTTTGAGTAAATTTTGTAAACAGTTCCCAGTGCCTTTTATCATCATAAAGTAGGTGCTAGTTAAAGCAAGCATGCTTGTTAAGACATTTCTGACAGATTTAAATTCTTACCTACCCAGCTGCTAATAACTCCCCATTTCCTCCATATGAGAATCCTCATCGATGAAGGCAAATCACAGCTTATTATTACACCTGTAACATGCAAAAGTGTCTGAGCATGAAAGAATCGAGCACATGTGTGAGCCTGGTGTGGTGGTACATGCCTTGTAAATCCAGACTTGGGGCAGAGGCAGGTGGATTTCTGAGATCAAGGCCTGCCTAGTCTACAGAGCAATAGGACATCCAGGGCTACACAGAGAAAAGAAAGGGAAAAAAGAAAGAGCAAATGTGTGAGGAGAAAATGTCCGGTCTTTTATTTCTTGCCTGGGAAGTACCGTTTTCCACCCTCAGCACTACTGGCCCAGGATTTTTACCTTCTCAAAGTGAGACCATAGTTCTTCTCCCAGGGCCACCCAGAGTTGTGAGGCTTGAATTGAGGGCATTGTGCACACTAGGCAACACATGCTAAAGCTGTGCTGAGTCCCTAGCACGGTCTTTGGTTCTATAGCTTTTCCCTTTTACATCTCTCAGTACACCTCTCCGCAGGTAATGTTGCATTGATCCATGTGGAAAATGTGATTTCATTGTGATCAGACTTTAATGAGGCTGAAGGGGTGGAGGGAGATGGGTCAACCATTAAGAGCACTTGCTGCTTTTTGCAGAGGACCTTAATTTGGTTCCTAGCACCCACATAAGGCAACTTCCAACCTCATATAATCCCAACTCCAAAGTATCTGCTGCCATCTCCTGGCCTCTATGGACACCTGCACCCATATGTACATATGCACACATGCACATACACATAATTTAAATTTTTAAGTTCTCTTTTAAAGCTAGATAAGGAGTAGCCTCACACCTGAAATTAACTCAGTATGGATTAGTATACTGCTTTCTCTCTTTGCCTCTGAATCAGCCCAAAGCTGACTAATTATGACACCTGCCTTGGATAACTCTCAGTCTGCCCAATTCATGGTTCAGATTCAGCTGTTTCAGGCTATGATCCATCCCTCTGTTGGGCCTATAACCCTGATGTGATTGTTTGCCTGCCTCAGTTTCACTTGTAGAGTATATAAGATCTCTCAGCCAATATCTTTTCCTTTTGCTCACAAAATTATTTCAGAGGTTGGGACACTTACATCTATGCTAGATGACTGGGCACCCAGGTGTCTCCCAAGTCCTTCAGTATGCCTTAGGCCACCTTTGTGGTTCCTGGCTCACTGTTGCTCTGGAACTGTCTGAGTGCTCATTTCCAAGTGAAGGTTCTTTTCTGGGCCAGGATAGGAAGCCTGGGGAAGCCAGAGCTCTTCAAACCAGGTCTCTTCAAACCAGGTCTCTAGCAGCTTCTGTTTCTCTTGGTGTTTGATAGTGTCAAACAGTGACAAACAGGACCCTGTAATGTCCCAGGCCCAGGGCAGGCCCCACGCATCGGGACCCTTGGTGATGACCCTTGTAACAGCTCTCAGCCTGGGTTCTGAGGGTCTTAACCTTGAAGGCATGACTCTCTTTCCAGAAATTTGGTGTCCAGAGCCTTCAGAGCCTCTTCATTGGCTCTTTACAACTTTTATTAGTTCCTCGTTCTCTTTTGTGCTCTCTGCTTCTCTTCTCCTTGCTCCGGCCACTCTGCTCCAGGTGCCTACCCCTGTCAGAATCGTGGGTGGGAAGCCTGGGTGCAATCGGGGGCACCTTGTAGGAACTGGGTGCTGGGTGCTGCCGGAATTACTCAGGCACAAGAATCTGTTCCCACTGACTGGCAGGTGGGATCCCACAGACAGGTGGGATCAGCAGGCAGTCTGCTGCTATGCCCAGCTCTCACCATGTCCACTGCCAGGAGTTCCAAGGCTTCCCACTTTTCAGAAACTAAAACAGCAGTTGCAGAGGGGTGCTGAATCTGTGCACCAGGAAGCCAGGCCTGGGGCTTGAGAACCTGAATGGAGGCACAAGCCGTACGGATCATTTCCAAGCCAATGGGGTCTCTGTAGGCTGCCCAAGAGTGAGTGTGTGCACTCAAGTGGCCCGCTGGCAATGCTGGGTGGTGTGCCGGGCCCCATCACTGTGACTCTAAGATCTTCAGCTGTCTAGATGGAGCCTGACCACCATAAAATTTAAAACATAAACATTTAAATAAATAGGGTTTTTAAAGGATTTATTTTATTCATGTGTATTTGTACATAGCCACATGAGTTTGGACGTGTGTTTATCATTTCTGAAAAGGATTTACTTGGTAATCTAATAATATAAGCTATTTCTAAATTTAGCATACAACATATACGCTTCCAAAGGAGAGAAAGGGTATGTATTTATGTGGTACCTTCCCAATTCCAATAAAATAGAACAACATTAAAAATAAAAACAGGACTTGGAGTTGGTAGTGATACCTTTAATCCCAGCAATGGGGATACAGAGGCTGGCAGATCTCTGTGACTTTGAAGCCAGCCTGGTCTACAGAGTGAGTTCTGAAACAGCCAAGGCTACACAGAAAAACCCTGTCTCGAAAACAAACAAACAAAAACCAGATAAACACGTAAATGAAAATAAAACAGGGCCAGCAGGATGGCTCCATGGGTAGAGGTACTTGGCGTCAAGCCGAATGATATGAATTCCATCCCCAGAGCCCAAACAGTGGAAGGAGAGAATGGACTCCACAAAATCTCTTAAGTTTCCCACTCCCGCTGTGGCAGGTGCACTCCCCACATAAATATAGAAATATAGAATAAGGAATAAACAACACCAACCAAGCCCACCCTCAGCCTCCATGCTATGTTGTTGTTGTTGTCATTGGTTTGTTTTCGAGGCAGGGTTTCTCTGTGTAGCCTTGGCTGCCCTAGAACTCACTTTGTACACCAGGCTGACCTTAAACTCCTAATAATAATCTGCCTGCCTCTGCCTGGTATTAAAGGTGTGCACCACCACTGCCCAACATCCATGCTTTTTTTTTTTTTTTTTTTTTTTTTTTTTTTGACCCATGGTAACTGATGCTCCACAGGCCAAGCCCTGAACTTGCTACCAACTTCCCTGATAGAACTTCCCCTGATTCTTATATTGTATCACTGAGCAGAAATCCAGTATTCTGGCTCCTTTGGCTGGAGTAACACTCCTTATGGTGAGTTCAGGACACCCGAACAGAGAGGTGTCAGCCCTGTGGTCACAGGTAAAGAGCCCTAAGGAAGCCTCTGGGCCCCAGTGGCCTGGGATGTGAAGCTAAAAGCCCTGTCCCTGCATTTACCTCTCTTTCCTGCAGCTCCAGAAGATGGTGCGCTGCTGAGTGACAGCTCAGACCTGGCAGAGAGCACTTCTGAGGCACGAGCCCTGCACACCCACACGTCTGCAATGCTCACCCGGAGTGGGGAGCGCACCCTGCGGTCCCTTGACATCCCGCGCACTGCAACCCGCCCTGTGCACCCCACTCAGCGTGGGAATGTGACAGAGCACTCGGGCCTGCTGTCCCAGGCACCTACCCTTGGAGGTGTGTCTTCCCACTGCCGCATTCCCTGTAGATCGCTTCTCAGTCCCGGGATGGTTGTGTTGGCTGGCAACCCAAAAAGTAGCTTACTGCTCATTAGGAAAAGAACCTTCTAGGTTCTCCACCGCAGGAAGCACTCCCACCCCCATCGCCTTGTGCTTGCTTGAGGTATGAGGGTTGATGTCTGCCTGAAAGGTTTAAAATAAAGCAGAGTGGTAACTGTGGTTAAAGTCATCTCCTGGGAAGAAATACCTCATTACAGTGTGGAAAGTTGGGAGCATTTTCCATTTTTCCATTCGATAATGGCAATTACTGTTTAGGATCTTGGGAGCTTTTCCATGGCAATTTGCTTTTATTAAAAAAGGGCATGAGGAAAGGCTTTGGAAATGCTCCCTGTTTTTAGGCTCCTCGCTTCTCCGTTATTCCCACTTATGTTACTATAGCTGCTCCTCACAGGAGGGGTCCTCTCTGAGCCACCCCTGTTTTAGCCTTCTGGGATCATCCTCACTGAGAGTGCTTCTCAGGAAAAATCACCTCTCAGAGACAGTGTCTCCCTCACTTAAGTTCAAGGATAAGTCATGGCAAATATTTTCCAGTGCCCATCTCAAAGATTTCTTGTTTACTTGACCCAACTTTGTCTTTTCTCTTTGTAGTCCCTGGACTTAGCTATGGTCAAGAGCGCGGCTCAGATGATGAACAGAGGACCTCCAGTGGCCACACAGACCACGCCTATGTTTCATCTGCTTTCACCAAAGGAGAACGGGCGTTACTGTCCATTACAGAAAACTCTTCCTCCTCAGACACCAGCGAGAGCTCAACCTCTTCCATTAAGACCTCAGACTCTCCATACGTAGACTTTTCTTCATCTCAGGCTAAAGGAAGTAACGTGTCCTCCTATGATGGCGAACCTGTTCAGTCTTCCACCGAGTCCCTGGTTCTGCATACATCCAGCCTTCCATCCTATACATCCACTGTTAATGGGTCAAACAACTTGGTTCTTGATGCCAGTACTAAGTCAATTGAGGACCCATCTGATTCAGGAGTCCCATCACCTCTCCCGTCAGCGCCGCAGCCCCACCAGTTTTTATCAACCTTACCGTCAACTCGGTCTCCTATGCAGCAGCTAAAGTCTACCTCCGAGACAGCCACGCCTTCGTCATCCTCACTGTCACCTTTGCCCATCTCCTTGATGGTGTCAACCCTTGCCCCACACTCTGTCTCACAAACAGACTTCCCACGTTCATCATCTACCCTAGTCCCACACAGGGCAAGGGAACCACGTGTAACGTCAGTCCAGATGTCAACAGTGGAATCAGCCATTGCAGTGTTCCCCGGCAACCAAACAGCAGACCCCAAGAACCAGAGCACCCCACAGCAAGAGAAAACCATCACAGAAGCCAAGTCGCCAAGCCTGGTGCCTCTGCCCACAGACCCCGCCAAAGCAGTAACAATGAGCCTCCCTGCAGGGACCCCCTGGTCCCCAGCCTTCATGGGGTTCCCCACAGAGCCAGCCCTTTCAGACACAAGCACCACCTTAGCCCGGATGTCTCCAGCTTTGACATCTTCTGTTTCCCACACTACTCACGCTCCTGTGACCAGTCCCAACACCCCAAGCATGGAAACTTTGACCTCAGGCACTGTCGTCGTGCACACGACCCCTGAGAAACAGCACCAACCAACCAACCCTGACATTCTAGTGCCACCAACCTCACCGGAAGGGGTCGTCACCACAGAAGGGAACCAGGTGCATGTGGACCCCACCACTCCCTCTATCCCTCTGACCACTACACCCACATCAGCAGAAGTGACCACAAAGCTCAGCCAGGCAGAAGAGGCCAGCCCAGTTTCACATTTTCTCAGAACATCTTCACCTCAAACTCCAGATGTTTCTACAGCTGAAATATTGACTTCCAAATACACCACCTTTGCTGCTCAGAGCACCCCAGAGTCACCAGCAGCATTGTCCCCTCCGACCCCAGGTAAGTGCACCTTAAAAACACACATCAACTGCTACAGCCCCATCCAGCCTGGGTCTATGCGAATGTGTCGGTGCTTGAAAGTGTCTGTTGGATGGTCTAGAATGACTCCCGTTGAAATACAAAGCATGAAATGTGAGCAGTGTGAGCCTAATGGTCTCCTAATAACCCCCTCCCAAGTCACATGACCCTTTCTGAAGAAAGCGAAGGAGGACACTTTGGTCCTGTGTGACATGCATAGAAGATATAACTGTAGCCTTTCATGCCCTGTTATTGTCCAAGCTTTGCAAGCATGCCTTTGACTCATCTCAGGTCAGAGCTAGGCATAGATGTGGGTTTGGACAATGGGGGAACTGCAAAAGCAGTGTTATCAGGGCTAGGATGCAGAAAGGGGGCAGAGCGCTTGCCTAACATGTGCATAGTCTCCAGCAAGTTTTCTACCAAAGAAAGCCTTAGGTGGTCTGTTAGAGGTAGGGCTGGGCTGAATGCCTACTCTCCAGCTGCTCTCCATGCAGGGAGGCCCAGAGTTCTTTGTCTCCATGATGCTAGTTGGTAACCAGGGGACATGTAAACCAAAGGATGCTCAGCAAACCTCTTCCTAGTGGCCGTTTGACCAGAGTTTCTTTACCTTGTGCATAAAGTTATCTGTATGGCTGTATTGAAGGTGCCTGTCTAAGGAAAAGAAAGCCAGCCCAGGGCAAAGAAAGGTACAGGCACAGCAGGGTGTGGTGCTCACAATGTACCTGTAGTTGACCCAGACTCAGTAAGGAAGAACTGCTGATGAAGAAGGCGAGGCAGATGCCATCTTAAGTGAGAGGGAAATGCTGTGGTACAGCAGTGGTCTCAGTTAGTGGTACAATTTCAGTTTGTCAGTGAAGATGAACCTGGGGAGGGTCAGGGCCATAACCCACCTCTACTGATAGTCTTCAGTGCTCCCTTCTCAGCAACCTGAGTGTGTCTGGGAAGGAAAAGATGATTGCATCTCCAGAAAAGTCATTTCCACTGGTTCAATACCAGGTTCAGCAGACTCCGTTAAAGCTGATACAGTCCCTGTGGGTGAGTGTTTGCAGCATAGTCAGTCACTGGAGACTATAGAATTATATAATGGACACCATGTTTAACTATACAGATGCTCTGCTCATACAGGTGATGCTAGGTAACACTTGAAGTATAGGGCTGGAGTATTTCTGCCTAGAGTGCACACTGTTCTTGTAGTGCCCCTGACTTTGGTTCCCAGCACCCACATGAAGCAAGTCGAGCTCCAGGAGATGCACTGCCTCCTCCTGGCCTCTATAAGCAGTGCACCCATGTACTCATACCCATCCCCCCACACGCATATAATTTCAGAATAAGTTTCAACAATAGCTGTGAAGAGTAAGGTTGCCATGTTTAGAGCGGCCCACCTGTTTCAGATTATTCTTTTGAAGGCCCTAGCTCTATTCCCTTTCCCTTGTTCCCAGTGGTTTCCTCCCTGCAAATGATGATGCTGTTTTGTAGACTTCAGGCTTTTCTGAGAGTGTTTCAAAACCCCCGTATGAAACAGGCATTTCACAATTGGAATGTGACCATTCTAATTATATACAGTCAAACAGGGTGAGCATCCTGCAACATAGAATGAGTAAGGTGCCAAGGCAACATTCAAGTTTACCCATAAAGGCCCTCATGACATCAGATGGGGCCCGTTTATGTATAGGGAGAGAAAGGGCTGACCATGTGACCCTGTAATCTTAGCACTTGGGAGGCAGAGACAAGAGTATCAGTTCACTGCCATCCCAGTCTACCTAGGAGTTTGAGACCAACATGAGCTACATGAGACCCTGACTCAAAAAGTAAAGGAAAAGGAGAAGGTGTTGCAGTGTTAAACTGATAATATTCTCAATGGCATACAATCTGTGAAGGCCAGGTTAAATTTCAAGACGTGAGGAAGCTGAACATGGTGGTGAGTGTGTATAATCCTGGGCTATATAATTAATTTGGAGGCCAGCCTGGGCTATATGAGACCATCTCAAAATAAAACAAAACAACAAAAAGCATAGCAACTACAAGTATGTATGTTTCAAGATTTTCAGATAAAGGTTTCTGTAGTTTGGATAAAATCCAGGAAAAAAAAGTAAGCCATTCATATATGTGTATTTGTCTACACATAGAGTGAATCTTGGAGCAAGCAGGATACATTGACTAGGGAGTCTTTCCACCTTAAAATATGCTTTAAGTTGACATTCACTGAGTCTGGTAGAATTTTCTAAGTATCAGTCCTGAATAGAGTGGCCTGTAAGAAGCATTAATATCCATGCTTGTATTTGGGGACCTAGTCATCTAGAAATATGAACACAAGCTAGTATCAGTGCCCAGTTTCATCACCTCTGTCTTCGCACCTCTTGGGACCCTGTTCTATTTTAGGAGTGTGATTTTCCAGGGCAAGCAAACAAACATAGGCGAGAACCAAATATCAGCTGTGAGAATGAGATGTTTCCCAGGGTTGCTCTGACATTGCCTGTGTTATTCCCGCCGTGTGTTCAGTCAACAGCTGTACTGTGAACCCTTGTCTTCATGCTGGTGAATGCATCGTGGACCTCACTGGTCACGGGTATCGATGTGTATGCCCACCTGCCTGGCAAGGGGACAACTGCAGTGTGGGTAAGAGAGACGGAAACATTTATTATCATGTTACCTTGGGTTGTCTGGCTATTCAATAAGATCCTTTTTGTGGGGTTGACAGCACATACTTGCAGAGGACCAAAGTTTGGGTACTGTCACCCGTATCAGGCAGTTCACAACTACCTGTCATTTTAGCTGCAGTCGAATTGGACACCTCTGGCCTCTGCAGGCATCTGCATTCGTGTGTTCACACACATACACATAATTAAAAACCAATCATTTTTAAAAGAACCTTTTTCTTCTAGAGTGTGCAAGGGTAAGGTTTTTAGTTTCATAGTCTTGCTTGAGTGTTGGCATGCTGGTCTGTTGTATGTGGTGATATGAAGGACCACAGCATGATACAGGCCTGGTTCTACTCCATGGCCTCTCTGAACCCCTGTAACACTGGGCCATCTACAGCTCCCTAAAGATGCCTACACTCTCCTGCCCCAGGCATTCACTCTGCTGGTTCCTCAACTTGGAGCACAGCCTCCTCCCAAAGATCTGCTTGTTGACATCCCTTTAGTCTTATTTATATTTAAATAGTATTTAATTCACCCCTACATCAAAATCTATTATTTCTGCTAGGCATGTCTTTAATCCCAGCACCCAGGAGCCAGAAATAGTGGGTTCTGTGTGAGTTCAAGACCACCCTGGTCTACATGGTGAGTTCCAGGCCAGCCAGGGATAAAAGGATGGGACCCTGTCTCAAAACAATAACAACAAAAGCCAACAACAAACTAGATCTGTGTACAGCTCTGCACATTCAAACCCTGCCTTGTATTCTAGTTAACTCTTCATATGGCTGCCTCTGCCCTGACAGGTAGTCATCCCCTTGAGGACAACGGTGGTTTCCTGCTCCTTTTATACCACACTCCCCAGAGTTCCACTGGGTTCTTAGGACACATTGGATTGTCACTCTTTGTCTGCCATCCCATCAACGTGCTCTTGTTTGTCCTCCTCTGCAGATGTGGACGAATGCCTCTCCAGCCCCTGTCCTCCCCTAGCCATGTGCAACAATACTCAGGGATCATTCACCTGCAGATGCCCAGTCGGGTATCAGCTGGAGAAAGGAATATGCAATCTGGGTAAGAGAGCTAAGTCTGTCTTAGAACTTATTGACTGCTTTTCTTCCTAATCAAAGCCAATCTTTTTTTTTTTCTGAGATATAAAATTCAGGACAATGGAAGGAAGTGAAACACAGTGCCTATTATTCTAACACTTGAAGACACAATACTTTGCTTCACAATTTGTTTAAATTGTTTAAATGTTCTGTTTAAATTCAAGATATATCCATAAGTATATCCCTCTTATTAAACAGTTCAAATACTGTAATGCCTGCAAAATATGCTTATTTATGCACAACATTTACTTGTTCAACCATTCTACCCTGTAGTTAAGGTGGAAAAAAAAACCCAAAAGGATATTCTGATGACATAGATGTTTTGTAATTTTAAACTGAGAAAAGAGTAAAATTCTGACTGCCATCTGTGTGCACACATTCTTCTTGTTTTAAAAAGTGACCATCAAAGTCATCAAGTTGTTAGCCACAGACAGATAGATATATGTTGACGCAGCTGCTACCAGGATCTGGCTACCATATTGGTCATATTTTGTTCCTCATTTCAAATTCATTCTTCATCTTATAGGTTAAAAAGCAAATCAGCAAACCCAGTGAGAACTAAGGCTCTTTAGAGAGGCTCAGCAGCCAGGCTTGGGTCACCGCTGATGAGTCCTGGTCCCCAGCCCGCAGTTCTTTCTAAAGAGGGTGTGCGTTGTAAGAGCATTCCTGTACACAGGGCGTGGCCCTTGTTAGGTTGCTGAATTTAATACCTTACTTGCTGAAGGAACGAGAATGAGAAATACTGTTTCAAAGCTGTGGAAAGGAAACCATTGGCCTCAGTTTGTTGGTGTCACGCCTTAGGCACACCTGCTCAGTCCATATTTTTGAAAGAACAAATGTCTGTGTTTTCTGCAAGTACTGTCTGCATGAATTCCTATTACCCATAAGCAGAAGGGGCTTCTTAAGGCTGGCACTTTCCTAAAGTAAGAATTTTGAAAACTCTTTGAAATACAAGAATTTGGCGTTATTTTAGAAAGAAAAAAATTCTACAGATCTAGCCATGAGTCAAAATCAAGAATTCCTCTTATTGTCATAGTTTACATGCATTTGGGTAACGTGTCTCTTGTAGCCACGCCCTATGAGGAACTAGAGAGACTGTGCAGTTGGAAGGATGAAGGAGATGAGAATATTTTCAGTTCTCTTTGTGTTGTGAAGCCCGGTGCGTGGGAAGTACAATTGGCAGCAGGTTTCAAACGCCTGGCTTCAGGCTCTCAGCCACCACCTGCAACACACAGCCAGGACCTCTGTTTCCTCATCTGTAAAATCAGATTACAGTCTGCTCCACTTCTCACTGGAGGTTTTGGGATTGTCCAATAAAATGATCTGTTTGAGCAAGCGCTGAGTGTGGTAAAGAGCCATCCAGATGGGAGGCAGCATTCACCAGATGGGACGCTAGGACAACAAACTGCCCTCAGTGCAGACTAGTAGTTATAGGTCACTAGTGAAATCAGCAGTTAAACTGAGATTAGAAATCTGTCTTAGGCCAGTGAGAGGGTTCAGCAGGTGAAGGCACCTGCTGACAAATTTGACCACCTGAATTTGAGTCCTGGGGCCTGCATGATAGAGAGAGAGAACCAGTTCCTGCAAGCTGTTCTCATTTTCACACTGGTACTCTGGCACATGAATACATACACATGCACACACACATACACAAAGCACACTCAAAGTAAATAAATGTAATAATTTTTTAAAATACCTGTCTTAAAGCTAGATGATGTGACTGCAGCCATGGAAGCTGGCTTGAATACATGGACTGTATTAGAAACACAGACACATCTGTGTCTTTCTACAATGTCAGAATTTATTGAGTAACAATAAATTCACAGGCTACTTCAATTTCATTTGCTATAATCTGCCAAGTTATTCTGATTTCCCTTGATAACTGGCCATTGGCAAGCATAGATTCTTTTTATTGCAAATTTAATTACTAATATTAACTCTGAGATCACACACACATCTATCTCTGTGTGTGTGTGTGTGTGTGGTGTGTGTGTGTGTGTGTGTGTGTGTGTGTGTGTGTGTGTGTGTATGGTGGTGGTACATACACACCTTTAATCCCAGCACTTGGGAGACAGGAAAGCAGATCTAAAGTTCAAGGCCAGCCCGGTCTACAGAGTGAGTTCCAGGACAGCCAGGCCTCCACAGAGAAACCCACAGAGAACCCCTGTCTCAAAAAACCTAAATAAATAAATGCCTTCAGCAAATTCCTTCTCAGAAAGAGGCCAGGGTTTGGGAGCAGGCAATTTCTCCCCGAAGGCACATTCAGAAACTTCTGTGTGTCTATCCCTTATCCTGTGCATATTTCTATATGGCAAGTCTGGATTTGAACCTGGGCATGTGAACCGTGGAGATGACTGGGTCAGGTGACTGTCCTGAAAGCTTGTGTTCAGAGTTTCCCACAGGTAGCACAGATGGGAGGAATGAGGTTCAATTGTGCCAAAGCCATCTTTCCCTTTTCAAGTTATTTGGCTTCATTGTTCATAAACATCACAGGAACATGCAAATTAGAGCATGCTGAAATGCCTTCCCTTGGCCAAGAGTGTTTTCAAAGAGCTGCCTGCTGTTCAGAAAGAGTCCTAAGCAGCTGGCTTCACTGAACTGTAGAATAAGCAAAAGGATGTTAAATAAGGATTAGGGGCTTTAGACAGTTAACTCTAAGATGTTAGATGTTTTCCCTGGCTCATTTGCTGGCCTTTCCTCTTAATTCAGCATGCAGGCTCTGTGTTTTGGGTTACTTTTCTTCCATCCAGAGGGAAAGATATGAATTTAATATAATGAAAGATAAGAGCCAGGTCTAAAAACAGGCTGTGAAGGCAGGGTTTAAATGAGTCCACCAGTACTAATTTTTGATTGTCTGCCCATTTTCAGGTCCCATTCCCCTCAGAGCCAATCAGCACTAGAATTTTGTTTTATGAGTGAAATGGACCTTAAAAATGGGAATGCTTGCCCCATTTCTGGACCCAGCGGTGTTTCAAATGTGGGTTGTTTTCACTGTGTGGTTGCTAATTGTAGAATCTTTAGCACCTTGGGGTCTACATCTACTACAAATGTTTGCCCTGCTCCTTGGTTACCTTTTAGAAGAGGAAGGTGTGGTCTTCACCCCCAAGAAGATTCATACAGATATCCTATATGGGAATAAAGCTGGCCATCCCAGAGGTTTGCACAGCTTGTGTTGGGTCTCTCTATTGTATGGCTTAACAGGCAACATTTTCCTCTTCAGTTAGAACCTTCGTGACTGAGTTTAAATTAAAGAAGGCTTTTCTCAATACTACTGTGGAAAACCATTCCGACATTCACGAGGTTGAAAACGAGCTCGCTCAAACAGTAAGTCTCCCGAAAGGACTCTTCACGCTCACCCTTTGTTTTCTAGACCAGATTTTGTTCAGAAATGGACACCAGTCAGGGTCATCTATATCCCCCAGACTTGGTTTTGTTCTTAGAAGAGAAAGTTCAAAGTGAGAAGTATCCTGGAAATAGAAGGTGGTGGGATTTGCGGTGTCCGGGAAGAATGATGCTTCAGATACATAGTCCCTATCTGCTAGGCTTTCTTTTTCACATGCAAGTGCATAGTTAACAGACATGGTAATGTGGAAAGATCCAGAAAACTCTCATGTCCCATCCACTGTTGTCACCCTATTGACCTTCTCTCCCTGTTTTCAGAGCTTAGAAAGGTCACTCTTTCTCCTTGAAAGATACTAGTGGCCTGCTACTAATTCCATTAGCTGGGCTTATGAGCTCACAGTGAAAATTATCAGGGCCTTAGATGTTGTTCTTTCCCCTTTGCTATTATTTCTAAAAAGAAAAAAATGGAGAAAAAGAAATAAAACGAAACTCAATATATTTTGTTCTCCACTGCTGCCCAACTCAAAGATTTGGTGTTTGGGAACTGAAATTTGTCATTGTACTAAGTTAGAGATGAAATTAAATTAAATTGAACTTGCTATTACATTAAATTGGAGTTCATATATTAGCCAGGAATAGGTCTGTGGGTTGTATTTGTATTTTAATTCCATTTCTATGTCTAGTGAGCATTTAATGTGTGACGGGGACTATGTCAAATGCTCAGTCCTGTAAGAGGGTAGGTGACACATTTTCAGATGGAAGACTGGGAGGCTGTAGAAGTTGGCATTGTCTGAGTCCACACCAAGTAGAAGCGAGTTGAAAGCAACCCCTAGGTCACCTGTATTACTCGCACTAACTGCAAGTTTGGATCTTTCTAAGAGCACTCTAAATTTCACTAATTTACTAGGAAGACCCACATATTGGAGGCCAGTATCCTCATATGTGTGGTTAATTGCACTAAAGGGACTTAAATTAAAATTGCCCACTGGGTGATGTGCTTGGGGCAGAGTCTGGGGATCCCAAATGCAGTGCTTCTAGCTGCTCTGTCCCTGTGGTGTTACTGACATTGTTGGTATCTCCTGGCAACTATATGGAGTACTGCCAACCACAGTGCTCACCTGTGTCTGGTGGTGTCTGAAACATTTATTTGAGCTTTGCCATATATAAACGTGGTTGACTCCCCATATGACTGACTTCAGTCCCTAGACCCAGAGTTCCCTCCATTGTTCGCATGGCTAGCGATAGGGACTATGCCGGACACTCTGGCATGGCACCAGAGTCCCAGCTCTGTAAATCGTTAGTATCAAGAAGGCCACTGTGAGGCTTAGAAACTGCCTTGCAAGGGCAGAGGCATGACCTCTCTCACCAAAAGAAGATTCATTGTTCTACCATTGCTGCTTCCTGGTTGTCTCATAGGTAGACATTCTCTTATTACATAGTGTAGAGGATTAGCGCCCTGGGCAAAAGTATAGTCCTTCATGTTACACTGTACTAAGCAACTTGCCTAAATATTTCTTGTTTGTTTGGCCAAATATCACCATATAAAACACTGAGCCATGACACACCTAACCCCAACTAACATAAAGAATTAAACAGCCATTGGGAACATCACTAGTGTGAGCTTTCCCAAAAACGGCATTCTGTCCTTACCTGGAGAAAAGGTTACTAATAAAGCAACAATGATAAGCCATTGCTCTTAGAATATAAAGTAATAACATACAAAGCTGCAAACCATTTGGTAGCATCCCATGCTTGATAACATCCCATCTAAGTCAAGGGGCTCTGGAACATAGCCTTTGAAGACAGGTGGGTCTGTCTGGGATGAGATTATTGAGACACTCTGCTCCATAAAAGGGATCTCCAGGCTGGGGAGGGCTGCTAGGGAGGCCCAGCTTGGCTGTGGAGGCTGCTAGGGAGGCCCAGCTTGCCTGTGGAGGCTGCCAAGGAGGCAGGTACAATGCTTTATGTGGATGAGGTCTTTCTGTTCTCTCTGGGGCACACGGCAAACACATAGCTCTTAATTTGTTCTCAACAAAAGAGCTCTTGACCCACATCATGTAACTTCCCACAGAGAGCCTTTCTGAGGAAGACCTATCTTTGAGTGAGGTCAGCTCATTGAGGAGCCTGTGGGGCCCATCAGACCTGGGGGAGCTGAGAGGAGCTGGGGGCCTTTCCAGAGAGCTTGCTCGCTATGCAGAATCCAAATAAACAGTTGCCTAGGTCTTTTGAAACCCTGGGTCTTAGATGGGATTGTCTCCTTTGAAGATGTTTTGTTTCTCTGAACATCCTTTCCTGCCGAGATTCCCTCACTATCTGCCCTACTCCCTTTGTTCTCGGGGAACAACAGAAAGATATTCAGGAGGGGAACACAGGCTACATTGCTTTGGGTAAAGCTGCCTGCTGATAACTTGATGGCTAGAAACTACCTATTTTATCCTGAAAATAGGAAATTGGTTCTTGGTTCAGGGATTTTATTTGACAGCCCTGTTCTTTGTTTCAGTTAAACTTGTGTTTTTCAACGTTGCCTGGGTATATCCGATCTACAGTAGGTGTGTCTAGGTAAGAAACAGAATTTCTTTTGCTTGTGAACCAGTCAGTGGAATAGGGGGGCCATTCCCACATGGGTGATCAAAATGAAGGCAGTCCCTGTTTTATTACCACTCCACTGGGTAACCCAAGGCCAAGGTCACTGGACCTGTGTGCTCTCCTTTCACAGGAGAATGGCAGTAACATTTACTTGTAAACTGCCTGGGGCCCACATGTCACCTTTGGTCAGTTAAGGCCTCACTTACCAACTTTGTCCACAGAGAGCCTAGTACACTGGCGATCTCACTGCAGTCCACCTTTGCCCTGGCCTCCAATGTGACACTATTTGACCTGGCTGACGGAATCCAGAAATATGTCAATTCCTGCAGGTCCTCTGCCGAAGTCTGCCAGATCTTGGGGTCTCAGAGACGAATCTTCAGAGGTAAGGAGAGATTCCTCTAGGACTCACATAGAATGGGAAGACATGGCACGTGTTCAGGGTTCAGGCAAGCTCTTTCACAGAGCATACTTTAGAAGATCTGACACGCAGGCCTTCATGATACTCAGATGCACACAGATCTGTCTGCGCATGGCCTTTCGGCATCTAGTCCTTGGCATCGGCTCCTTCTGTTTCTTCTGTACAGTGCTGGGGTGAGAAGATGCTACGGGAGCTTACTCCTGTTTCCTAGGGAAACAGAAAGTGACAAATACAGTGTGCAGGCTTACCAATGACCCATCAACCTTCATATGGTGATTACTAAGAAAAAACAAAGACCCCTGTGTGGTGTTACCTGTCTTTTGTTTGCTCCCTATCATTAAAACATGATGATCCAAGAGTGCACAGCAGGATGCTCCCAGGATGCCATAATGATGAGGGTCTCCCTTCCTTAGTTCTTTTTTGTCAGAGGCTCTTGCCTTGTGTTATGGTAAGGCCAATGAAGAAGGTGATTAAAGGCAATTCTGGAAGGCACACTTGTGTCTTGTGGGGATAATTTTACATCTGGGAGAGGAAAACCTGCTGGAATCAGAAGTGCCTCTAGGCAAAGAGAGCTAGTCCCTGCTGCCGCATTGTAAGTGATCAAAGTGGACTCTGGTTAGTTTGCTGTACCACTGGATGAGGGCTGGCAAAGGAAGGAGAGCCGAGGCTAAGCCTCCCCATCTGGCATCCAGATGTTAGACATAAACTGAAGGTATCGGGTTTTGATGCTATATCCGCTGGTTGGTCTAGGATATTCCCAGTAGGTCAGGATTTTGTAACTGCTGGTCCAGGGGCTTTCCTTGCATGAGCAAGTGCACTGCAGAGCTTGGGAGTTGGCACTTATCCTTCCATTGTTAGATGAGCTCTTGGGGGTTGGCTGCTTAGTAAGTGGGGGAAATGGATTAAACATAGTCGAGTCGGGGTGTCTTGTTTCACAGTTCATGCCCTGCTATAGTGTACTGGAAACTTTGAGGCACTCTGGTTTTATGTTTTTGTTCCTCTTGCCAAGAACTCAAGGGCACCATTTTTTTTTTCCTGCCACTGAGGTAGGTACCCTTCAGTTTGCTAACCATTTCTGGACTGCACTTTGTGTGGTCAGCATGGAGCCAGGGTACTTTCTGTTGCCAGCACATGCATCTGTGTCCTGCAGATCAAGTGGCTGGATTATGTGGATTTGTAAGAGCCTGTTCTTAGCTGTGCCTACTCAGTCAGCTGCCTTGTCTGGACTGCCCCCGTGTGGTTTATGGGAACACTCCTGATACCTTGCACCAATCCTCACTGCTCCTTTCCAATCCCTTGAGGATAAAGGCAGCCATGCATATGGGCCAAAATTGGGTTCCCATCCCTGTTTTTCCTCCAGACCTTCTCTAGGTTTGGTTAAGAAGTCCAGCTCTGTTCTTGGTAATTTTTCTGGAGCTAGAGAGGTAGGCTAGACCAGCAGGTACAATATACTGGATATCCAGCATCTGGGCATCGAGGCTGCTCTGGGCATTGGCATTGGCAAACATGGTTTTCTCCCTTCAGTTCACTGAATGTCCGCCTCCCTCCTTTCAAAGCACTTTAGTTCTCATGGTCTCCTGAAGTTTAGGGACTATGGAAGGCCTCAGCCTTAGACTCATGCGTGTGCCCATTGTCTATTTTGATGGATGCTAGCTATGGCCAGGAAAAACCATGGGAATTGTGAATGCCGAAGACTCACATCTCCAGGGACCGATTTAAGTGAGATTCTGCATGGCCCTTTTGGGTGGCTTTATGAAAAATGTTCTTTGAGAAGGCTGAGAAAAGTGGCTCCTCATGGCAGGGGTAGGACCTGTCCTCCCTGTTCAAATAGGAATCTGATGCTGGGCAGGAAATGGTTGCTTTGGCATGGCAATGAATATTTTTGCTAGCAGCCTAGATCAGTAGACAGGATGGAAGGAAAGCTTAACATTGATGTCTAGAAAATATCTACTGAGACCAGGCATTTCCCAGGCTAGGATTGCCTGGACATCGCTTTATCAAGAGGTGTTGCTTTCTGTTAACTGTTGACTGGAAGAGCCTTCAAAGAGGCCGGATGAGAGGTTGGGAAGCTGAGGTCCTCCCTGGTGCCAGTTCTATAGAGTTTGCTGGGTGGGATTTTTTTTTTTTTTTTCTGTTTAAAAGTCTCCCCTTAAATACAAGCTTTTTACAATGAACAAAGGAACTCAGATTTAATACGTCAGTTTCCAATAATAAAGGCAGGAAATCCAGCACTGAGAATTAAAGCTGGGCCCTAACTCACCCCACTGGGACCAGACCATCTCCCAGCCTCAGTTCTCAGGACTCTCACAGGAGTGGATGCTGGGAATTCCACAAGGGCTGTGAAGCCCTGACATCAGCTCCCATCACTAGAACTTGCCCAGAATCTTGCAGTGATATTTACTGAAACCTTCTGTAGAGCTCAGGTCTTTTCTTTGAGATGGAAGAGGGGAGACTATACCTACAAATTGACAGCCACCTTTCATCGTACAAGGCACACACTGCCCATCCCATTGCAGGTCTCCTCCCCTGCTGAACCTGCTGTTGACTCCCAACAGCCACAACACACAACCGCCTTACTTTACCTTGTGCATGGGTAATAAATTACTAGTCACTATTGAGTTGGTTTCATAATTCTGTTTTTTCTGTGCACCCATTTACATGTGCCTCTTTCCCTGTCTTGGGTGGTAAACCATATCCTTCATTTTGTTTGCTGTATAAAAACTCACAAAGGAGGCGCCCATCAATGAATACTTTTGGTACTATTAAACTGTTTCTTCATCATCCATACGGTGAATAAAGTCCACAAATGAACAAGCAAGTGGCCTTAAAGTTCCTTCCTTGCTTGCTTCTGGTTCTCCTGGGGATGGTGTGGTGACTACTGGGCAGCATGACTCCCCGCACCCCTTCTACCCCCTTCTACCCCGCACATGCTCACTTGCTGGTCTCTGCGCTGAAGAACCAGTGCTGAATAAACCTCAAGAAATCACCCCTGTAGTGAGAAGACAGCCAGACAAACGGCTTCCTGCAACCCCGGGGAACCAGACTACCATTCAAACCTGTCTCTGTAATAAATCCTACAAAGACAGCACACTGGGGACAAAGCAAGCTGCCCTACCACAAGGCCTGGTCCTGGGGCCCCTGAGGACACACAGGGCCCAGACTGCTTCCATTTGAGACTGGTCTGGCCCGAACTGGTTGGTTTTGGTCCAAGCTCTTAACTCTCTAAGAACATGGTCACATTTCCTGGGTCTGTTCCAGCCCCCCTCCCTGCCCCATCATCCAGGCCTTTAATGTGAAGGTACAGAATATACCACAGTGAGGCTGCATTTGTAGGTGGGCAGAGACCTTTCCCTCTTCAGCTTGGTTTCTCCAGAGGGAATGCTTGTGACCCAGAAGCAAGTGGCAGAGGAGAAATATGGCTTCATGGAGACTCTTAGCCTCTTGAAATAACAAGTTCATACACCGTAAGGTGTGAGGAAGAGGTTTGGTTTGGTTTGGTTTCACTGTCTTGTTTTCACATCCCAGCGGGCAGCTTGTGCAAGCGGAAGAGTCCAGAATGTGACAGAGAGACCTCTATCTGCACGGACCTGGATGGCGTCGCGCTGTGTCAGTGCAAGTCGGGCTACTTTCAGTTCAACAAGATGGATCACTCTTGCCGAGGTAGCCATGGGTCCCAGCAGTTCTGAATGCCTTCCTGAGATAGGCAGGTGCCATGCATGCCATGCTGGTAGTCTCTGCTCTGGGGGACACTTCTAAATAGGGGGTAGCTGGTCCTTGCTATTTGGCTTGCAGCAGGAGTGGATACAGTAAGTATTTCCTTGAATGTATCTCCCTATTCAAAGGAAGGAGAATGAAAACTATCACAAGGGTCCCCTTCCCCTCCCTTCCAGTTGGAAGAAGTTAGAAAAAATGTCTTTATCCCCAAAGCTTTGTGTGTTGCTTGTTAACCACCAAAGGTGAAAATGCAGATGCAGAGAGGGCCTGGGTTTTTCAGGGCCACTGTGACTCAGTAGTGAGTGTACTCACTGATGCCCAGGATACTGGGTCAGAGCCACATTCAGCCTCATCAGTTAGATTTCATCTCAAGCAGGCACTTGACTTCTCTGAGCCTCAGTTTCCTCTTCCTTGAAATGAATGTGGTGACACTTCACCCTGAGAATGACAGAAAGCTGTGTCTAAAGCTGTGCTTTGTAACTCTGGGGACTTGCTCTTGTATTTGTCTAGGTCGTTGTTGATTTGATGGGTTATTATTTAAGATTTCTTGGTATGTTGGAGAGAAGAAATCTAATTCTGCCAACCTTTTTTTATGTTTATTTGTATTTTATGTATGAGTGCCCTGCGTGTATACCTGCATTCCAGCAGAGGGCATCAGATCCCACTGTGGATGGCTGTGAGCCACCATGTAGTTGCTGGGGATTGAATTCAGGATCTCTGGAAGAGCATCCAGTGCTCTTCACCTCTGAGCCATCTCTCCAGCCCCATTCTGCCAGTCTTTTAGACGCTGAAGAAATTTACTCCATCTGAGATGAAGTCCACACTCAATGAGTGTGATCCAAAAAGTTTGCCTTGAAATAAAAGTTTTATTGTGATCCAGAGTGCCATGTTCCCGGCTCCCAAGATGATCAGCAGGGCTGGCGATATAGAGGCTACTTTTTCACAGTCACAACGTAACGGCACAGATTTCCTACTCAGTCAACACCTTGCTTGTGACAGATGAGCTGGGATCCTAGAGAAAAATCACACAAGGGCAAGGTGGCATGCCACTTGGGTCAGGACTGCCCCTTAAAGGACTCATTTCATCAAGAGAATATAGAAATATCTTTTGGGCAGCACTTTCATCTTGAACCTTAGACTTTCTGTTGGTGTTATGTTTAGATAGAAAATTCTATTGAGGTCCCAGGTCAGCCTTCCACATGCAACCTGTGATAGGAACACCTACTTTCCGAGTTGGGCTTCAGGCCTGGTGTGATTGGTCCCCAGAATCTCATGGCCATGCCGGACCATTGCTTCGCCTTCAAGACAATGCTCCTAACCCCTTTCTATCTGCTTTCCTGCCCTTGTTAGAAGTAGGGGCTGGAGCTCAGCTGCATGAGGGAAAGTGATGGCGCTGATGTCAGTGTGTGTTGTGGTAATTCGCTGTGTGCTATGGAGCTTGTGACAAAGGTGAGCAGGACTGGGAGCGTGCAGAGGAGCTAGCCTCATGCACAGTGCTTCAAGCATGGCCCTGCCTGCCACCCTTGTTCCTGACTGGCTTGGGCCACTTCTTTCTGCTCCAAGTCAGCAATGTCCTAACCGTGTCTTGCAGGCAACCTTGGTCAGAGGTGGCATTGTGTAAGCCTCTATAAGAAGGTCATCTGCTTTAATTTTATATATAGCTCTGAAAGTATGGCCAAGACAGTATAGTGATGTCTGTGTGAGGCAGCAAGAGGCATGTGTGTATGCTACATAAAAACTTGGCAATGGACAGCTTAAATTACAGCATTTTAGGTAGCTCCGCTGTCCTCGAGCGAGCTCACAGTTTTCCCGTCTCAGCTTCCCAAGGGTTCCAAGCATATGTCACCATGATCCTTTTTCAGGATATCATTTTCAAGTGTGCTTTAGGAGACGCAGGTGCCACAAACCTTATGTTTACCCAGTAATGACCAAGAAACAGCCTGGGAAGACCCTGACTAGCCTTGTTGAACACCTGGGAGGCCCTGCCTCAAGCAGTGGTCATGGGCCTCTAACAAATGAATACTAGAGTTTTGTGGAATCTAGCTCTGTCAGATGGATTAGTAGTGACATCTTCTGGCCATTTGTGCTAGCACAGACATTTAAAGTTAAAATATGTATCCTTCCTGGGCTTTTCTGTTTCCTTCCATCAGACAGGCATCCGTTCTAGGAACTTATTTCCCCCCTCTGACCAGATTGAAACTAGTGTTTTTAAAGGTTTGGTTTTTGGGGGGGAGGAGGGAAGGGAGTGCTTTGTTTTTTAAAACAGTGTGTCACTCTGCAGTCCTAGCTGGCCTTGAACGGAGACCCTCCTGCCTCTGCCCCCTTACTGCTGGGATTAAGGGCATACACCATTACATCTGGAAAATTATTTATTTATTTATTGATTGATTGATTGATTGATTGATTTTGTTATTAGTTTGGTTTGGGGGGTGTTTTTGAGAGACATGGTTTCTCTGGAACCTGTCCTGGAACTCACTCTGTAGACCAGGCTGGCCTCAAACCCACAGAGATCTGTCTGCCTCTGCCTCCCAGGTGCTGGAATTAGAGCTGTGTGCTACCACTGCCAGCTAAAATTTTATTTTAATTTTATGTGCTACGCATGTGCATGCACCCTAGGAGTCCAGTAGAGGGCATCATATCCTCCAAAGTGGGAGTTACAGGTGGTTGAGAGCCAAACACCTGTCTCTTGACGCAGCAGTGCTCTTAGTCACTGAGCCATCTCTGCAGCCCAGATTCTAACAGTCTTCATCTCTTTGATGACAAGCACTTTAGGGGGGAAACCTGTATCTAGGATAGGGCTTAGCATGATGTCTATTGCAGTGACCATGGGGTAACAAATGTGTCTCGGGATCAGCATGTCTCGACTCAGTGTCTACAAAGGGTTAAGCCTCTGCCATGTACTTTAAACTTGATTTTGAACCCTTAATAGTAGGAGAAACCCAGTGAGGCCATATATGCAAATTCTTGCTTCATTTGTTCTGTCTCTAGTGCTCTGGGGTCAGAGTCCCTCTGGGGTATGTGAGGAACAGGGAGTGTCTTTACCAACAAGGTTTTCCCTAAGAGTCCCAAGAGCAACACCAGGCACACAGGAACACTCAGCCTTTGACAAATGGTGGATACGCCCTTTAAAAAAAATACTTTGTGTATATGTTTGTTCATTTGTGTTTGTTGTGAGTACATGTGGTGATCAGAGGACAACTTGATGGAGTCTCTTTCCTTCCCACCGTGGGTTCCAGGTCATCGTGCTTGGTGGCAAGCGTCTTTCTTTACCCCTGAGAAACCTCACCTGCTCATGCCCTTTTGATTGGAGAGATTTGTTACATTAGGGAGTCAGGGTACTTTTGATGCTAAATGAAAATAGCCCACGCCGCCAGCTGGAGCTCACAGGCAGGACAGCAGATGGCCCTTGCACACGGCTGGGTGACAGTGAGGCGTGGAGAGCCCCCACCCAACAGATGAGGGTGGGGTGTGCAGATGGACATAAAGATGTTTTCAGAAGGAAGTGTTCAGAATAGCATGCACTGGAGACATCAGCCCATGTCAGTTAATCCTAGCAGGTGCATCTCTGAGTTCTAGGCCAGCTTAGTCTACAGAGTGAGTTCCAGGATAGCCAGGGCTACACAGAGAAATCCTGTCTCAAGAAGAAAGAAAGAAAGAAAATAAAACTCATATATAAAGAAACAAAATTTTTAAATATTAATGGGGGCTAGCAGGATGGCTCAGTGGGCAGATTCATGGGCCCCAAAAATACCAGAAAAGAGCTGACTTCTGAGACTTGTTCTTTGACCTCTACCTATGCCCCACACATACATGCACACATACATAAGTTAAAAAGTAAATAGATAAATAAATACTTGAAAGCACACTGACTGGGCAGGGAGAATGAAATTAACAAGAAATTTACCAAAGAAGAAACACAAAAAGCAGTAACTTTTTTTTCTTTTTTGTTTGTTTGTTGAGACAGGGTTTCTGTATTGTTTTGGAGACTGTCCTGGAACTAGCTCTGTAGACCACACTGGCCTCGAACTCACAGAGATCTGCCTGCCTCTGCCTCCCGAGTGCTGGGATTAGAGGCGTGTACCACCATCGCCCTGCTGAGCAGTAACTATTTTTAAGAGTGGTCAACAGGGAAAAGCAAATCAAAGCTATTTTTGAGATAGGGCTGCACCCCACTTGGAATGGCTCACGTCAACAGATCTGACAGCAAGTGTTAGAGAGGAAGGGAGGCAGGAGCCCCTATTCACTGCTGATGGGGGCACAAATCAATACATCGGTATGGGAGTCAGTTTGGAAGTTTCTTAAAAGATTAAAAATAGGACTACATGAGTCAGCTGTTTCATCTCGGGCATCTACCCAGAAAGCCCCATCCCATGCCCTACCGGAGAGATATTTGCATACCACATTTATTGCTGCTCTGTATATGATAGCAAGAAAACGAAACCAACCTTGTTGTCCATCAACAGATAGATAATAAAATTGTGGCACATATACAGAATGAAATGAAATATTATTCAGCTATAAATAAATATGAGAGCATGAAATTTTCAGAAAATACGGGGAACCAGAAGGTGGATAGATAACATTAAGCAAGCTCACCTGAGTTCTGAAAGAAAAGAAAACAAAACCACATGTTCTCCCTCATATGCAGACCCTGGCCTATAATGTAGACATGCATACATGCACACAGCTGCAAGTGTGGGCATAGAGTAACATTTAGAAAGGAGACTTAGTAATGAAGAGGTCTGAATGAAGGCAAAGGGACATGAGTCTTGAAAAAAGAATATAAAGCTAATTATTTTTCTAGTTTCAACTGTGTTGCTATTTTTTTTCCTTTTTGTGGTGGATAACAGAATAAAAAATGCAATCGATAGCTAAAGTGTGACACCCTGAGGGAAGCCAGGTGGTGACAGCACATGCCTCTAATCCCAGCACTTGGGAGGCAGAGGCAGGTGGATCTCTGTGAGTTCAAGACCAACATGGACTACAGAGAGAAAACCTGTCTCAAACAAGCAAAACAACAAAAACCCTAAATGAAGCTCTATGGCTTACTATAGTCATCCTAACTATATAGAAGTTTGCTGAAACGTATAGAATTTGGGACAGGAGAATTATGTATTTGTGAGGGGGTAGATAAGCGATGTTTTCGTTTGTGAGTTCATTATAATAAAGTGATTTTCTTTTCGAGATAGGGTCTCACTATGTAGCTCTGGCTGGCCTGGAACAACTCCCTATAGTTCAGGCTGCCCTCAAACTCACAAAGACATGCTTGTGCCTCCAGAATCCTGGGATTAAAGCGTGCACCATCACAACCTGCTAAAGTGATTATTGTTGTTGTTGTTGTTATTATTATTATTATTATAAAAATCACAGATTTAGCTGGTTAGGTATGGCATGGGTGGGGGCGGAGAAGAAAGGCGATGGTCATAGTGTCACATGCCCTTGACCTCAGCTCTGAGAAACTGTAGCAGAAGAATTGTGAGTTGAAAAACAGCAAATGCACATGTTTAAGGAATAAGTCAGATTGAAGGGGAAAGTGGCTACTTTGTTGAGGCTGGAAGGAAAGTGAATGTGTAGAAAGCTAAAGAGTGTATGTGCTAAGGTAAGCCATACATTGAAGGTCTAAGCTTGGATACTAACTCGGAACCAGCAAGATCGTGACTTTGAAAGGATGCAGAGCCCATAAAGCAAAGCACACTAGCGGTCCAGGATACTCCTATCTTTTAGGCATTGAGGCCCACAAGAAGTTTCTCTGGGTGTGCTCACCAGGATGTTACTGTGGCATTGCATAACAGTGTGGTCCATGGCATCCTGCAATAGATTTTTGCCGTGGGGAATCTCTTGTGGCTGCTGCTTAAGGTAAACAGCCCGGAGTGTGTGGGACTGTAGCTCAGGAAATGAGTCTACAGAGCCTGTCAGTGTTCACAGCTCTTTAATGATCTGTGATGAGACTAATTTCAGGTGATTTGGAACAGTGTTTTTCAAACTGTATTCCACAAAACTATTGCAGTTAATAAATGATGTATGACAGTAAAATGAATGCTAGAAATATTTAGCTTCTAGCATTAAAACATAAAGGAAAAAAGTATTAGGCACTTCTACACAAATGACACTATTATGCACAACTTCATGGCAGAACATGGAAACCTCCTGTCCCAGCCTGCAGGGTGTGTTGTGACCTGCCATCCCATCTCCAGCCCATGCTTGCCCTTGCCACTCACAGCTCTCCCCTACGGTGTCTCTACTGTCTACTCCCTGTTGGCAGCTCTACATTCTGTGATTGGGGGGAGGGGGTTGATCTCTTATGCAGTGTCTATGAGGCATTAACATGAATTGGATTTTTATCATCCCTTGCATCAAGGAATTTGTGTGCAGGGGCCATTTTTCGTTGCTTTCATCCGGGCATTCGTTACAATTCCTGGTGTTTAGTTGAGTTATTGTAACTTTGAAAGTATCCTGTGATCAGAGGAGCTTGAGAGTTGCTGAGCTAGGCGAAGAGCTGGACCATAGCCTATTTAGTAAACCCAGAGGGGGTCAAAGCCAGGTGAAAATTAGGCACCTCTAAAAATGTCTAGACTCCCTGGCACAAATTATAGGGTAAACATTCGCTTATGAAAACCTGGGCATTGACCAGGACTGGGTTCCAGAGGGTGTCACCCACAACTTCCTCCTCTTCATGGAAGAGGGCTAAGCTGTATCACCTCCTCTAAGAAACCAGTATTATTACTATTCTCTCATAATCCTCTTTTTACTGATGGAAAACTGAACAGCACTGAGGTCAAGAAAAGTTGATCACTTAAAGAGTTGCGAGGACGACAAGTATCCAGGTCAGGGTATAGATAACTTAAAACCTTTTTGCTTTTAGAATATTCCTGTGGGCTTCCAGGTGACTGGTGTTTAACAAATGTGAGTTCTGGTGCTGTGGCGGCTCATGGCTTTTTCCTTTTCTCTTTCAGCGTGTGAAGATGGATATAGGTTAGAAAATGAAACCTGTATGAGGTGGGTTCCCTATTCACTTTTTCTGACGAAGTTGTTACAAATGGTTTTTAAAAACTACCCAAAAAGACAGAGCATCCAGGCAGATAGTGGTGGTGTACTCCTTTAATCCCAGCATGTAGGAGACAGCGGGAGGTGGAGGGAGGCAGAGGCAGGTGGATTCCTGAGTTCTAGGTCAGCCTGGTCTACAGAGTGAGTTCCAGGATGTCCTGGGCAACACAGAAAAACAAAACAAACAAACAAACAAAAGACAGATCATCCTAATAAAGAACCTATCCTAAAGAAAGAGATTTATCCCATGCATCGCTCTGTTATAGCTTTTGAGATTTGAACCTGAGTCTTGTTTTGTCTTTCTTGATTTACAGTTGCCCATTTGGCTTAGGTGGTCTCAACTGTGGAAACCGTAAGTATCCCAAAGTGGAGAATAGTGGTTGGGTGGGGCCCGGCCTGCCGACAGCCTCCTCCCCTCTCCACTGTGTGCTTAAGGCCTGGCTGGCTGTGTGAGAAAAACAGAGAGTAAGCCCTGCATAGTACTTTCCCAATCTCAAATTCTAGGGGAAGAAATAAACACCTGTGCAGAGCTCTGCCTGTGCCATGAGCATGCTGTGGGAGGCACCGGCATAGCCCACACAAGGAGAATCCAAGACACTCAGGAGTGTTTCTAGGAAATACTGGAATCGGAGGGAGGTTTAGAAAGACTGCAAATAGAGGGGTGATGGAGTAGAGGGGAAGGAATCATTTAGGGCCCACTTAGAGTCTTGGAGAAGCCACAGATCCATGGTGTTTTAGGAATAGTTTGTTTGTAAGTGGGCGTGTCCAAATTATTGAAGGGAAAAAAAAGAGGAAAGTCCAACATTAGGTTTGCAAAGAACGTAGAAGTGAGCTATTGGACAAGTGTGTTCCTAGGCTGCAATCAGTAACTGCTAGGAAGCTAGCGATCTCAGCACAGGAGAGTTAGATGATCAGGGGAAGCCATTGAGACTGCAGTGAACAAGAGACAGTGTAAGTCAGGAGACTTCCAGTGTGGTGCCAACTAGGGACAAGGACCAGCCTTGGAAGGCACCTGCTATTAGGAGAGTCTTAACACTTGTAAAGCTCAAGGTGCTCAATGCCGCTGATGGTGTGGCAGGCGTGATCCAGTCCCTTCTGAAGAGCAGTTTGAGCCATTTTAGATTTGCTTGCCCTGGCATGTTTCGAGATGAAAGTTATCTTCAAAATTAGGAAACAAAATTTGCGATACAGAATATGGTAGAGTATAAAAATAATAATAGCAATCAAGACAGTTTTCCAGGTAGCTTTGCCCCTGTTGTACAGGTAAATGTGTGAATGGTAAATATCTGTTTGCCAGGTTGGAAGTAGACATGATTTTATTCCTTGTGTTATTCCCAGTTGCTATTTTTCCTACTGTATGGCCCACTTTTTATGACTTTAGTGAGCACATCAAGTTTAGCTTAGCCTTTCTCCCCTACCCTCTTTGTTTTTACACTTTTTCCTCTTTTCTTTCTTGCTTACTTTTTTTTTTTTTTTTTGAGACAAGGTCTTTCTATGTAGCCCTGAAACTCACTCTATAGACCAGGCTGGCCTTGGTCTTGAACTCACAGTGATCCTCCTGCCTCTGCCTCCTGAGTGTTAGATTCTAGGTCTTTCTGCTTTTGTATTCTGGAAGGTAGTATTGCATAGTCATGTTCTGGGTTATATGCCATCTGGTGGTTTTTGTTGTTGTTTTATGAATGGTCATTGCTACTGCTTAGGAAATGCATACCCTGAACCCGTTTATTCTCTAAGCTCTTATGGTGAGAAAATAGTCAAGTCTATTTGTTTGTGGGAGTCCTAAAAATAACCATAATTTCTCTTGGGTGCCTGAGACCACTTTTCCCTCCCCATTTATCTATGTAGCCATGATTATGTCCAGCAGACACTTGCCTGGAATATTGTCCCCAGCCTGCTTCAGGAGTAGATACTGGCAGTTTACCATTAAACTGTAGTGACTTTGATATCTACTTCAAGTTAGTATTATAAAGCATTTTATGGTGGCTAATAAAAATGTTATGACCGTGATAACATGTGCAGTGACACTTATTGTACATGCTTCAGCAGCACACACTGAGGGACATTCATCACCTGGCTCTTTATCTGAGGTCTGGGCCCAGCCCTGGATGTTGGTTATGTCGTTGGGGGCACCTGGGCGTATCCCCGTTGGTGATGAAAGCCCCTGAGGAGGGCATGACTCATCATTCGGTCTTTTATACCACCCATCCTGGGGGCTGCCGCTCAACCTGATTTTTGTTTTCCTCTCTTAGTTTTGAGATGTGATCTTACTATCTATAGCCCAGGTTAGCCTCAAGCTCACTACCCTCCTGCCTTCATCTCTTGAGTGCTGGGGTTACAAGTGTTCTCTACCATGCTAGTCTATTGATTTTTCTGTAGGCAGGAAATGTCCCTCGATATTCTTGGCACATTCTGTTCTTAAGTCCAATGGGACAAATAAGCCAGCTTTTCCCAGCCACATGTGTGACCTTGAAATCCTTACATTCCTGGCTGTCATCCAATCCCAGTATACTCTAGGCATAGGCACAGTCTGTGCTCTGCCTTTTTAAAGGTTCTTGCTGACTTTATAGTTCTGGTCAGGTTCCACTCCTTGCTTCTCACAGAAAATATTCTTCAAAGGATGGGATGAGTCTTTCTCAAGGCTTTAGTTCCCAAAGGCATGCCGGTCGCCCACACCCAAGGCACAGGGCTTCTACTGTCTTGACCCTTTTCTCTTCTTTCCATGGAACATTTGTTTTATTTATACCCCACAATTGTGTCTTCTTCTCCCGTTGTGCAGAATTCTTTCCTAAATGTGTGACCAGACTGTCCCTTGTCCTCTGCTGCTCTCTCAGACTTGCACATCTCCTTTATCACTTGAACTTTATGTTGTGTCCTCTGCACAGCTTTGAGTTGTTTCACCTTTTGCCCTCTCATTCATGTGTGTTTGTATGTATGCAGGTAGTAATGTATGTGTGTATGTATGTATGTATGTGTATGTGTGGGTGTATGTACATGTGTGTATGTGCATATGTGTATGTATGCGAGCATGTGTTTATATGTATGCATGTATGTTCATATGTACGTGTCTATGTATACATCTGTTTATTAGGTTAGGGTCTAACATATCTCCCATACTAGCCTAAAACTTACTTTGTGGCCTAAGATACCCTCAAGCTCTCAGTACTCCTGCCTCAGCCTTCCAAGTGCTGGGATTACAGGCATGTGCTACCATGCCAGCCATTTTGTTCTCTTTTTAAATTTTTTAACTTGTCAAAGCATAGAATAATGTAAAACCATTGACTTTCCCTTTTCAAACCCCCAAATCAATTAGAATATAGGTGTAAAGTAAGGAAAGAGGGGCATGTGCACCATCCATCACCAATAGATATTATATGCCCTACACCATCTGTGTGAGGACCAGTAGTCCCAGTTACCAGGGAAAAAGGAGGATGTACATTATCCATCACCCATTATATGTCACACACTGTGTGAGGAACAACAGCCCAGCAGCCCCAGTTACCAGGGAAAGAGGGAATGTACATTACCCATTACCCATTATACACCACACACCATCTGTGTGAGGACCAGTAGCCCCTGTTACCAAGCACCTACTAGGCACAGTGTCACACCTCCTTGTTCCGTACCTATGAAATCAGAATCTGGAAATTTAACAGACTCATCAACTTGCTTACATGCTGCCATGCATATATCCTATAGCTTGAAGAACACAGGCCTCATCTGTGTGAATGTGCATCTCTAGGAATTGGACTTCACTGAATATACTATTTTGTAACCTATTTTTCTAAATGTTTGAAATTAAGATTATATTTTATAAGAATAAGCATTTTCCCCACATGTACAGTGGATACTTGGTGCTCACAGAAGCCAGAAGTCATGGGATGCTCTAGAACTATAGTTACAGATGGTTGTGAGCCACCATGTGGGTGTTGGGAATTGAACCCAGGTCCTCTGGAAGAGCAGCCGTCTTTCCAGCCCTGCAAACCATTCATAACTGCTGTGTTTTCATCTCTACACTCTTATTATGTCACTTTCAATCGTGTCATACTACTCTATGCCAGAGTACACGTAAGTGCATCCCTGGTGACCTTTTTATGGGCTCATCTTCTAAGACATTTCTCTGGCTTATGGCCATTGTCACTTCATGACTATAGAACTCACTGTTGTTCCAGATTAGTTTCTTCTTACCATGGTCAGATTTTTGTCCATCCCTCTCTCGTGCCCATTCCACATGCCCTTTTCTTCAAAGCCTCTGGCTCGATGGAGGTCTTTTCCTAATGGGTTCAAAGTGTGGCTTTTAGAGCCATCTTTCTATGTACAGTCTCTTCCGTGAACTAGAGCATTCCACGTAATGATATCCCCGCTGTCTTCCTCCCACCCACAACCTGGTATACAAAGAACTTTCCATTTTGCTCTCACTGTCATCGCGTGGGGCTGCCTGGAGATCCAGGGGTTGCTGGGCACTCTTGTCTAGAAGACCTGAAGTACTTAGGAGGAAGGAGCGATCGATAATCACCCGGAAGTCAGAGCACACAGTCACCATGCTGCCTCAACTGGCTTCCTTTGCCGTCAGAGCAGGGGGAAGCATGGCTCGGGAGTGAGAACACTAGTCTGCATGTGATTTCCCCATGCCCCGGTGAAGTGGAAGGAACACATAAACATTATTGGAATGGAGGGCAGTAGGCACTGGGTAGGTTTACACATAACCTGAAGACATGGAAATTGGGAACGCCACAGAAAGAAAAGGAAAACCTTGAGCAGAGATGTAAGAGGATGGGGAGGCTTAAAAGGCAAAGCTCCAGCCTTATGTGATTAAGTACTGAATGGATTTTAGAAGAAAACCAATAGGGCTGCTCTGTTGCACAGTTTTAAAGAAAGTTCTTGTGGAGTGAAAGGCTGGAGCTTAAGCAAAATTGATTGGAAGGACTTGTCCTGGGACCCGAGTGTCAGGCATGGCAGGAATCGCTGGAGTGGGCTCCTCTGGCCGCTGAGGTCAGGGATCTCAGAGCATATCCAAGTGTGACTTCCCCCTCCTCTCTGCTTTTACTTAGCATGGCTGTCCTCCCTTCCCAGACCATGTGATGGCAAACAGAGTACCCATACAGAGTCCCCAAACAGAGTGTGTGTGAGAGAAAGCTCTCTCTTATTTTCCACTTGAGTTTGGGTCATGTATTCATTCCTCATCAGCTGTGGCCAAGGGTGTCAACATGAGTGACCATCCCCACTGCAGTCGAGGGAGTGAATAGTTCCCAGAGGAGGTGGGCTGTACACACAGTGGGTTTCTTCTAAAGAACCATGTAAGCAAAGCCAGGAGCTCCTGAGGAAGGGGGAGGCCCAGAGTGGGTTGGTTTGGTGGCAGAACCACAGCCTCAAGCTGACAGGTTGGCGGGGAGGGAGCCACTGCTGGTGAGGCACTCAGCTATCAACACGTGTCATGCAGAAGGGGGCCCGAGGACCCCAGCATCACTCGGCAGCATCTCCTCAGACTAGAGAGCACAGGACAGACACAGACACTGTCTCTGTCTCTATCCTGCTGAAACTCTCACGCAGTGCCTGCAAAGTTAGAAGTAAACACCATGGCTGGCATTGGGGAAGAAAGGCCCCATGGTGCTGTGTCTCAGAAAGCTGAAGTTAGCACTTGTGCCCAAAAGATCACTTAAAATGATACAGTAAGACCCTTGGTAGAGATGGTAAAGGGTATGTGTTTATTTTTATTATTTTCCCTTTATTTAAAATTTTAATTAGCATATACATTTCCAGGTTTCACTGTGGCATTTTCAAACATAATTCCTTTATGTTCATTCTTCTTATCCTCCTACACCCTCAGTACCCTCCCGCCTCCCTCGTGACACCCGTGTCATGTTGCCTCCCCCCTCAACTTCTTTCCCCCCCTCTCATGGTCTCCTGCTCACCCCACTCATATACAGGCATGTAAACACTACATGCTAGGTCCCAGATAGCTGAGTCTGGGTCTCTGCACTAAGTCCACAGTGAATGTCTTTACAAGAAAAAGAAACAGTAGTGTGTTACAGTTGGTCCCTAAAGGCAAAGAAGGGATAACAAGTGAGATTTAATTTTGAGTATTTAAAAAGCTGTCCAGCCAGGTATGATGGCACACATTTGTAATTCTAGCATTTGCAAAGTCGGAGCAGGAAGAATGTGAGTTTGAGTCCAGTCTGGGCTGCATAGTGAGTTCTAAGCCGAGAGAGAGAGGTGGGGGGTGGGTGGGTAGATAGATAGATAGATAGATAGATAGATAGATAGATAGATAGATAGATAGATATAGAGTTCTCAGTATGAGAGAAAGCAGACAATATTCATATTTCTGAGCTTGGCTTATTTTACTTAAAATGATGTTATCCAGTTCCATCCATTTTCCTGCAAAGTAGTTGTTTTTCAGACAAAATTTTATTTCAGAGAGGGTCAAATAATGGATATTCAGTTGTTCTGCTGGAACTCCATGATAAATTGGAGTTAAACCTTTTGGGTTTTGTGACAGGTTCTCATCATGTAACCCTGGATGTCCTGGAACTTTCCTTGTAGATCAGATAGCCTTGAGCCACAGAGATGCCTGTCTCTGCCTCCGAGTGCTGGGACCAAAGGTGTGTTCCACTAAGTCTGACTTAGACTTTGGTTTTTACAAACAGGAGAAACAAGACTTGGTAGCCCATGACTGTAATCCCAGGCTCAAACAGGAAGATTATTTTAACTTTGAGGTCAGTGTGGGCTACCTATAGCCCCAGCACTCTGGTGTGGAGGTTAGTAGCAGTTCAAGGGCCCCCTTAGCTACATAACAAGTTAAAGGGGTGCCTGGGCAGCGTGAGGCTTCATCTCAGAAATCAAGTTAAGTAGGTAAGTAGGTGAATAAATAAGCACAGCATAGGGAGCCACTGAAGTTTCTTAAAACAGGGAAATACCATTCTCAGGCTTGCTGTCCAGGTAAGAGATGACAGGTGCTCAGGGCAAACCTGGTAGGAGTGAGGAAGACAGATGTGGAGCTGGAAAGGGGGCTCGGGGATTAAGAACACTACCTGCTCTTCCAGAGCAGAGTTCAGTCCCCAGCACCCACATTGGGATGCTCAGACCTACCTGTAGCTCCAGCTCCATGGGATCTGCCACCCTCTTGTGGCACATACACATGAGGGACACACACACACACACACACACACACACACACACACACACACACGATAAAGTTAATTCTTTAAAAAAAAATATGGGGGGGGCTGGAGAAATCCCATAGTGGTTAAAAGCACTTGTTGCTCTTCCAGAGGACCCAGGTTCCACTACCAGCACTTATATGTTGGCTAACAGCCATTTGCCATTCCGGTTCCAAGAGATCCAAAACCTGTTTTGACCTCCGTGGGCATGCATATGGCATATATATATACACATACATATATACATACATACATACATACATACACACACACACATATATATATATACTCAGTCATACACATACCATAAAATAAATATCTTTAAAAAATGAATGCAATCCCAGAGGTTTGTTTTGCCCTCACTTGTGAGAGAGCCTCTGAATGCATGCATCGGGAGGCGAGGGAGACGAGGGTTACATAATGTGATTGGCGGTTCCTCTATATTGCAGTACTAATCTTTTTCATAAGAGTCTAGCCTTTCTTGCTATTTAGTAAAAGGCTGGGTAAAGGGTCCATAGCTTGTCATTTACCTGTTCTGCTCATAGCTCCTGATGTAGGAGTTCATCCAGACAGGGTGAGTGCTGTGGCACTATGAAAATGACTGCAGATCATTGTTTCAGTCTTAATTTACTTCAAACGCCTGGTCATTTGGGGCTGGAGAGGTGGCTCAGTGGCTAAGAGCACTGTCTGCCCTTGCAGAGGACCTGGGTGCCGCTCCCAGCACCTACATGGTCGGTTCAACCTTCTGTGATTCCTGTCCAAGGGGATCTGACGTCCTCTCCTGGCACCTTTGGTTGAGTAAAACATTGATAATGAGATAATTTTCTTATGACAGGGTTTCTCTGTGTAGTCCTGACTGTCCTGGAACTAGCTCTGTAGACCAGGCTGGTCTCGAACTTCTAGAGCTTCAACTGCCTCTGCCTCCCTCATGCTGGGATTAAAGGCACATGCCACTATAGCCCTTGAAAATAAGTACTTTTTAAAAAGAAAGAAAGAAAATCTAGTTATTGGCCTTTCATACTAGATCTTGAAACCTGAGAAACTAATTTTAATTGTATTTCTACAAGAAAGAAATGGAAGACTAAATATAATTTATAAGAAATAATTTTGCTACAGATGTACAGATATGAAGCCCAATTAATTAGACCTTCCAGCACTATTATGTATGGTATATACTTCTATCAGTGTAGTTTCTGGTAATTAAATTCATTATAAGGAGCTTCCTGGGTCCCTGGCATGGTTTATGTAATGACTCCTGACCCTGGACTTAACAGACCAATAATACTTCTTCTGAAATTGAAGAGTTTAAACTGTTTCAGTTCTGTTTTACCAAGTAAAGCCCTAAAACTGAATCTAGCATCTATTTTGTTGTTGCTGTTTTGTTTTGAGACTGGGTTTCTCTGTGTAGCCCTGACTGTCCTGGAACTTATTCTGTAGACCAGGCTGGCCTCAAACTCAGAGAAATCTGTCTACCTCTGCCTCCAGAGTGAATCAAGCATCTTTATCTTTACTGTCACTATCAAGATAACAAGTTTCCTGATGTATAAATTTCACACGATTTAGGCACCCATCTTAAATGGGAGAGAGAAAAGTGTAGGAGTGAAATCTTTCAGAACAGTTTGAGGAAATTTAATGCTTACCTGTCTCTTTCTCTTTTGTGACTCCGTGACATCTGACATTGTCAGGCATGTCCTATAGGAAGAATTTCAGAGCCACCACCCTTGAAGGGGGATCAACAGTAGAACTCTAGCCTTTGAGATTTCTGGGCCAGAGACCAGGCAGTGGGAGAGAGCGGCCAGGGTCATGTTGACAGACGTGAGGGTGAGATGGAGGTCTGCTTATTACTCATGACCTCTTGTTTGATGTGTTTAGCCTATCAGCTCATCACCGTGGTGATAGCGGCAGCAGGAGGTGGCCTTCTACTCATCCTGGGCATCGCGCTCATTGTTACCTGCTGCAGGTGAGTGATGAGAATTCAAATTCAAATCCCATTTCATCAGCTGTGCTATACAAAGGGTTAATTTTCAACCTTGATTAAATTAGGGCTGGGGAGACTAAGGCAGAAGGAATATGACTTTGAGAATGAGAATCCTGGGTTCATAGCAAGTTCCAGGCAAACCTGGGATATATAATAAAATTCTGTCTCCAAAGATAAATAAATAACACAGCCAACTAAGGAAAAAGGTGAGTTGGACTTTGTCAAAATCCAAAACTTTCAAACTCTAGAGCTGAGGACATGACTCCATTGGGAGAATGGTTGCCTAGCACGCAGGAAGCATTTATTCCCCAACCGTGAAAAAACTAAGCCTGGCATTGTGCAGGAAGAATCAATAATTCAAAGTTATCCTTAGCTATAAAGCAAGTGCAAGGTCAGTCAGGGATAGAGGAGGCTGTTTTAAAAATACAAAACATCCGGATCTAGTGACACACGCCTTTAATCCCAGCCTGGAGGCAGAGCCACCTGGATCTGCTTGAGTTAAAGGCTGATCTAATGGGAACACAGCCACACAAGTACTTGTCCTGGTGTATTCACAGCAATTCTCTCCCTAAGAGTCAAAATGGGAAACAATCCCGGTACCTGTGAGCTAACAAATCCAAAAGCAAGTGTGGCAGAGCAGAACCCCAGTCAGCCATTGACTGACACGTGGGCAGACCTTCAAAATCGAATTCTAAACAAAAGAAGGCATCTGACAGTAGTCTGCATCTAATAGAGACAGAAAGTGGACTGATGGGAGGCCACTGCAGAGGTCAGGTTACAGAAGTTGGAAGATGGGGGATGGCTGCTAAGGCGTAGGGGATGATTCGATTTTAAAATTGTGATGATGGTTGCACCACTGTGAATATGTTAGAAACCATTAAAAGAGTAAATCATATGGTTGGCTGTGTCAGTCATCTCTCAGAGCCGTGTATATACAGAGACACAGACCAAGATGCAGGGCGGGAGGGGGCTGCCTGAAGTGCTTTAGCAGTAAAGAAGGTAGAGCCATGTTTTGGATAAATAGTGATGTTGGCAGTTTGTATGAGAAGGGAAGAGAAAGGGGAGGCTACCCTTGTCTACAATTACTTGTTCAAGTAAAGGAAAATTATAATCATTGATTTAGACAATATCAAATGGAAAGAATTATTTGTATGTAATAGATGGGGAGGGACCTTGCCAAAATAGCTCTTTATCTTTTTGTCTCCATGAGGTAAGGACATTTTAAGGCATCCTCTGCCTCCAGGAAGGCCACCATGAATAACTTAACTGTAAGCACTCCCTCCCTCAGGCTTGTAGACCACATGGGATTGCTCCTTCTCATATTGCCCTCAGAGATAAGTGTAAGTGAGATAAACCAGTTAAGAGCAATTCTGACGAGAAATAACGAGTGTCAGCTGGGAGGACATAGCCATGCATTGGTGACATTCTCTTTCACACAATGTAGTCACCTCTGGAGGGAGCCTGGACTTTTGGTTTCTGAAAGGGGAACACAGCAATGGGATCACCCTGTCCACCACAGTAGTAACTGGTCTGCTCTGAGCTTGGAAGTAGGGCCGATACTGAAGCCACGATGGAACTTTTACAACGCCGAGTCATTCCCATGCCTTCCCCAGAAACTTAAAGTGCAGGGGAACAATGGGCTTCAGATATCCTTACTCAGAGCAAATATAATTAAATATTTCTGATCCTCTGCCCACAAGACAGACAGTTGCCCTGACCATGTCTAGGTAGGGAAACCTCCCAATTGGGCTTCTGCACCTGCAGGCGGCCCCCATCAAGGCTTTGTGGTTTGTGAAGCTATAAATAAAACACTGGCTGGGGAGTAGAGAAGCTGACCCCACCCCAGGTCTCTACTAGCCGCAGGTGAGCCATGGGCTAAGTCTTCATGAGCCAGAACCAACAAGGCCTGGCTCCCCATTCTGGAAACCAAAAACAGTGTTGATGCTTTGCCTGGGACTGCTGATGTTTGGCCACCACTGAGCTCCTTTCCCACCCAGCGTCACCGGTGAATCCTGATTCTTGTGCCCCTGGCTACCCCAGGGCACAGTGCCCTTTGCTCCCAGAGGACACTAGTAGCTCCTTGGGGCTGTCTTCATGCTCCATTTAGGCTCTTGAAGTTGGGAGGTCTTTTGCATCCCCCCCCCTTCGGAGGGATGGCAGAAGGGACACCCAATGTCAGTTTTAGTTTTTTAGTCAAATATTAAATTATACTAGCATTTCCAGTGGGCAGCCAGATGGAAATACGGGGGCAGTTCCCAATCTAATTTATGTTTCAAAACACACTTATGAGTCTCGTCACAGAGGCCACTTCCTGACACAGCTTATTGATAGAATTTGTCGCACATTTCTTTAAAATCTCACAGAAAGAGTAAAAATGACATAAGTAAACTCATCTTCAAAAGTGGGGACTTCCAAATGTCCCCATACGCCGAGTACCCCAAGAATCCTCGCTCACAAGAATGGGGCCGAGAAGCCATTGAAATGCACGAGAATGGGAGCACCAAAAACCTTCTGCAGATGACAGACGTGTACTACTCGGTAGGTGTCTGCGACCAGCCCCCTTGGGGACCCAGCTCAGGGCTCGTTCTGGAAGCATGGAAGTCAATTCAGGCTTCCAGAGAGAATGACAAAGCTCTTAGAATCAGTTCATTGACTGTTCGGTTTAACAATGGCCTACCTGCATCGAATTTACTGGTTTGAGTATCAGGGATACTTCCACAGAGTAAATTACTTTTAGGGAGTGGGAGTCAAAAGTCCTAAACTTGCTTTTCAGACTAGGAACAGAAACCTCAAAGAAAGGAAGAATGTGGTTTTAGCCCTTTGCCCTCTCCTTTTTGTTTGCTATCTCGTATCTCACCTCCTGTGGTTTGTCAGTCAAAACTGGGGGCTGGGAAAGACATAGCAAGAATAACTCAATGCCATCTTCACCGGGGAGGTTTTGGAAGCTCCGTAGGTCTTTAACGATTGACTCCATCCAGCCCTGGACTACCATCGGGAAAGCTGGGAGCATACCTTAAGCCAGTGGTTGTCAACCTTCCTAATGTGACCCTTTAATCCAGTGCCTCATGTGGTGGTGACCCCAACCATAAAATTATTTTCGGTGCTACTGCATAACAGTAATTTTGCTACTGTTATGAATCATAATACAAATATCTGATGTGCAGAATACCTGATATGTGACCCCTGTGAAAGGGTTGTTTGACCCACCCACCCCAGGGGTCTCAGCCCATCAGTTGAGAACACCTGCCTTAAGCCTTCTTTTGTCCCATACTGAAGACAGTAGAGATTTTACTGCCTTCATTCAGTTCACCTCAGCTCACACCATGTCAGCAGACACAAATGCAGGTATGGGAACAGGAAAATACACCTGTCAAGTGGACTTCTCATCAACTTGCTGTATAGCAATAAACAGAGACCTTGCCCTGTGGGAACTTAATGGCGATAGATATTTCTTGATAGAAACCATAATCCCTATGGTTGCTATGGGGATGGACTAGGAGGATCAGACTTTGGATGGGAGGGGCCGGTTTGTTCCAGTGTGATCTTTGAAAATTTTCAACCAGGAGGATGAACAAGCAAGGTGGAGAAAATAAAGATGGATGTGTACTCCAACTTCAGTGTACCTCTGGTTGAACTCCATTTCAACGTCCTGTTTCTGAACAGGCATTGTTGGTTTCCCGATTCTATCAGGAATGTTTTCCTGCGCCCTAACTGATGCTGTACTAAGTGTATCTTAACTCCACACCCTTTGCTAGGGACTTCTCCACCCTGGTGTGGTGTGATAATTATAACAAACAAGCAGGCAGTGTCCTGGGACCCCACCTCTCTGCACAGTCCCATGGCATTGTCTTAAATTTACATAGGAGCTCAGACAAACACTCTTAGTCCTGTTTTCTATCAAAGTGACGAAACTCCACGACCAAAAACAAGGTGGGGAGGAAAAGGAGTATTTAGCTGACATTTCCACTTGCCACCTCACCAAAGGAGGGCAGAACAAAAACTCGGGCAGGGCAGGAACCGGGAAGCAGATGATGCAGAAGCCATGGAAGGGTGCCTCTCATCGTGGCTTGCTCAGCCCGCTCTCTTATAGAACCCAGGACCACCAGCCCAGGGATGATGAGCTAGATCTTCCCCATCAATCACTAATTAAGAAACAGAGCCCGAGTTTACAGCATGACGCTATCACCTGAGTGCCACTGTCCCCCACAGTGGGTACAAAAAGGTCCAGGCAGTGCCACATTGGGCTCTCATAGGTATCATGTTTATAGTGCATACTACCTAGTACTTTATTTCCACCAAAAGAGCATTGACCTTTGATGCTGCTCTCAACACTTTCTCACCTTTATTGTTGTTTCGGATACCTGGCCTGACCAATGTTTCTTAACCCCCTTTTAAAATAAAGTGAAATGTATCCCACGTCCACAAAGTGATTAACTTGTGTGCCAGGTGTAGTGACACATGCCTGTAATCCCAGTGCAAGGTAGGAAGACGCAAGAAGATTGTGGGGGGGGAGCTAGAGAGATGGCTCAGCAATTAAGTCCCAGCCCCCACATGGCAGCTCTCAACTGTCTAACTCCAGTTCCAGGGAATTGGATGCCCTCTTCCAGCACCTGTGGGCACCAGGCCCATAGGCGGTACACAGACATACATGCATACAAAGCACTCATACACAAGATAAACTTTAGAAAACGTGATTAAAATATTTTTTTAAAGAATGAGATTGTGAGTTTCAGGCCACCAGGAACAGATGGCATGACTCTGCCTACCCCACCCCCATCCAAATACATAAATAGACCCATGGGATTTGTGCTGCCAGGTGAGCCAGTGCTTTGATATTTATAGCCAGCCCCAATCTTAATTTATAGCTAGCCCCATCTTAAGTTCATTAAAAATGTAAGGTCTTTTCATCTTATTTAAGTCTGGGAATAAGTAACAATTTTTCCTTTCTCCTTGGCATCCAGCCCACAAACGTGAGGAACCCTGAACTTGAACGCAATGGACTCTACCCAGCCTACACTGGACTGCCGGGATCCAGGCACTCATGCATCTTCCCGGGACAGTATAACCCATCTTTCATCAGCGATGAGAGCAGGAGGCGAGACTACTTCTGAGTCCAGGAGAGAGAGGGGCCCGTTCCTCTGAGCCATTTCCCCAGACCGGAGGACTGCACCAAAAGGGAGCACCATGTGCTAGCCGCTCCTAGGACCTGTCAGAGCCACACTTGAAGGGCATGACCACAGTGGAAGGGGACAGATGGATGCGGAACCGCAGGCCACTCATTCTGCACTGTTATCACTGTGAACACGAGCGTGGGCCAGTACCGAGTCTGAATGTCTGGCACATACGCCTGGCTGACTTCCCCCAGAGACCACTAGGCATCATTTCCAGGGCCCAGTTTCCCCTTAATTTGCACTTTAATAGATTGGGCAGGGAGGTTACATTTTTTTACTCATTTCCAGGCTATTCTAGAAAGCCTTCCTTTTCTAGGATACTTCTACAGGCCTCAGTTTGGTGATTGATTGGCAGCCAGGTGCTGGCACTTTTGTTTCAGCCTCGTGCTAAACAACAGATGGAGGTAAATGTACCGCTTTGATCTAGCAATGCTGCAGTTAGGAGCATAGTATTTTAAGGTTCCTAGGTTGTTTGTGCTCATTTCCAAGCCAACACTCTAAAGGAGAACTTGACATTTGCAAGACAGCACACAACTTCCATTTATTTTGTAAAGCTGGGGTGATGCATTTGCTTACAATTTATAAATTTTCCTCCTCCAAGCAAGAATGAATCGAGGCAAACTAACTTTCATTTGGTATCATTTCATTACAAGTATCCAGCTGAACCTTAGTAAGTCCCAGCAGGCAATATCAGGCTGGTCCTGTATGTGGTAGGGTGTCTCTAATCCATGAGGGAATGGCATGGGTCCTGGGGCTCTGATGTACAGTGTGGAGCCAGAGTCTGCAGGGATGTAGTAGAAGAGGGAGGTACCTCTGAGTTAGCCTCTTGACCCGAAGGAAAAGCAGCCTGCTGTATGTTGTCCCCACAGCAGGATGTGACAGAGGAATGGACTGAATAATATGACATATTTCCTGCACCACCCAGTGTTTTTGAGAAACTGAGGGGATTCCTCAAGGAAGAATAGGGAGTTCTGAGAGAGCCACAGGTAAGGGTGTGTGCCTGCTAATCTTTAAACCCATAATGTTGTCCACAAATTCATGGAAACTTTTAACCACTCAAAGCTATTTACTCACCGAAGAGAGAACTTGGTCATTTCTCTCACTCGGTCATCGATATGTCTGTGTCCTTCTGCAATGCCCATCAAGACTCAGTTATGATCCAAGTTGGCCTTGGAGCACTAAAGACTGGCCAGCTAAGGGGCTGAGAGCTTATTTTGGGGGAAGGAAGATCTCTGTCTTGTTTATTGTGTTGTATCAGGTTCCCAGTGTGTTGGGGGGAGGGGGGTTCTGTCCCCTGTGGAACTTTCGTGTTTATCAGTTTGTGGACTATCCTGGGTTTGGATGAGGTGAAGAGGTCAAAGCATTGTCCCCACCCTGAAGCTGGGAATTCAATGGCATGTCTTTCTGGAAATGAGGCAGTTGTTGGAGATGGATCTGTGTGTGTTTGTTTGGGGTTCTCTGGTTACTCCAAAATTTACAAAGGTTCCTTCCCATCCTGTTTTAAGTGTGCAGTGTCCCATGTTGACCATTAGCCAGGTGCAGTGGATTTTAATCATTGAACTGTACTCATTAGTACAGGGAGAGTTACTGTTGGTTAATGCTGGCTTAAAGTTGCAAAGCATTGCCATCTAGAAGCCATGGGTATTGCCTCTATCTCACTGTGGAACCAATGGCTCCTTGTGTCTTTGTGAGCTCCCGTGCTTGGCTTGCCCGAGCCCAGATCCCTTTTGAGGTAGCCTGGTTCTAACCCTTCCCTTAGTATCCCTGTTTGTCCCAGGCCTTACTGCTGTGAGAAGAGCCATTGTGGCAGCTGTTCCCAGACACATTTCTAAAGCCTTTGCTGCCATCACAGCTGGTGAGAACCTGGTTTAGGGGCCAGAAGCTCAAGGCCCACACAGTGAAAATTCCAGAAAAAAAGTCCTGAGTGTCCTGTGAATTCCAAAAATGCTCACTGACTCATGAGTTTGGTCCAAATAGAGTTGATTAAGAGTGTTTCATTTTGTTCTTTTTTACTGTGAAAAAAACTGAGAGCTCCAAGCAAGGGTGAATTTATACTTAGTCTACTGTCTCGGGGGTTCAGGGAGTTTGAGGTAGAAAGGCTTGAAGCATTTGTAAAAGAGATATGGCTTGCCTAGGACTCTCTGCCCACCATTGGGAGGAATGGAGTGACTGGGTCTCTCTGGTTTGGGGTTATGTCCAGATGGAGCTTGGAGGACATCAGCAGCCCATGAACAGGACAGACAGGATGAACCCATGCTGGATACTAGTGCTCAAGAGTCTGTCCCCATACCCAGAATGCACAATTCAGGTGTGTAGACATGTCACAGTCCTGCATTGAAGTCCCATGATGAGGGAAGTAGGCAGAGGGAAAGCTACACTACCTAGGAGGTGCTTATGTGCAGAAGAGACAGGCCAGGCAGAACTTGTCTGTCCTGATGGGCTCAGGAACAGGAAAGAGAAAGGAACAGGAAAGAGAAAGGGGGGGGGGGATGTCCCAAACCAGCCTGAACTCTGGGTAAACTCCAAGGGGTCTTTTTTTTTTTTTTTTTTTTTTTTCTATCTTTTGCTTCACAAGCCAGCTCATGACACTGGAGCTTATCAATTAGGAGGATACTTAGCACCACCTGTTCCTACCGTAAGCATTCAGAGGGGGACTGGGAATGTAGCTTAGATGGCAGAGTACATACCTAGCATGTACCAGCCCTGGGTTTGATCTTCAGCACCACACAAACTGGGCATAGTGGTACATGCCTGTAATCCCAGCCCTCAGAAGGTGGAGGCCAGAGGACCAGGACATCAAGGGTTTCCTGGAGTACACAACGCCTGTCTCAAAAAGGAAAATATTGGTAGGTTTGTAGTTTGCAAGACTATAATGGTACGTGGCTTGAGCTGCCAGAAGTGTAAGGGAGTGGTCTAGGTAGGTTTTTAAAAGCACAACCAGGCTTAGGTGCCCACTTGAGGGCTGCCCGCTTTATTCTCAGAGGGAGGCATGGCTCCCACACATTAGACGTGTGGACCTGTGGAAGCTAGGAACACAGTTGAGTGTCTGGGATGCTGAAGGAGCTTCTTTATTGGGGAGGTTATTTTTAGAAGCATCGAAGTCATGTTGAAACAAAACTGCTATGTGATTGGTGCAATCAAGCTGCCTGGTAGCATTTGAGGTCAAAAATGACGATTATGGTTTAGAAGAGGAAGTCATAAAAGCTGGCCCCTAGAAGGGAGCAGCATTGTTGGAAAGAGACTGGCTGATGACCAAGAGAAAAGTCTTCAAAGATGCTGTCTATTCAAGTGGGAAGTTCCAGAGTGGGTACCTTCTTATGCCACCTTGTCCAGTAGCGAGGTACCAGGGTCTCTGTAACTGTGGGACTTGACATATAGCAGTAAAACTATACAGCCAACTTGCCCTTGGCTGAGTGTCCCATACATAATACACTCAAAACTAGGGGCCTTACCCATAGTTGTAAATTTATATTTTTTTTTTCTTTCAAGGCCAAAGCACTTCCTTGGGAAGAACAATACAAAATTCTGTGTTTTAGTGTTTTATTTAAAACAGCCTGTAATAGCAGGCATACATTCATCTATCTGAACAGTTTTTTTTTTTATTTTTTAGAAAAGGATGCACTCATCCCTCCTCCTCCCTCCTCCCCTTCCTCTCCCTTCTCCTCCTGCTTCTGGAGGGTAGGGCCAGGAATGGAACCAGGCAAGTGTTGTGCTGTGCTTTGGAGCTGCATCACACCTCAGCCCTGTCCTTTCTTCCTGTCACAGCATCATTCTCAAATGCTTGTTGGCATGCTCAAAGAGAGAAATGGTTTTGTAGTTTGTCGTTTTGTATGTGTGTTCTTTCTTTTCTCAAATCCCAATGGGGGGAAAACAATAGGAACAATAGGAATGAAGTTAAGACAGTAACTTTATACTTTTTAAAATAACTGGTTAAAATAATAGGAACATTAAAATATTACATGCCAATCAATTCCTTGTACTTAAGTGTGTCCACGAGGTTACGCTCCTTTATGTCTGATGGAAACTTTAGCTCACAAAATGGCCTGTGAAACCCAAGGGGGAACCCTCTAGGTCTGAAAAGAGGCAGGTCCTGGACTGTGCCAGGGGCTACCTGGTGGGTTCTCCCGTGTTTTAATGATGGGCTTGATGCCCATGTCCTGAATTGTTGAGGATGGGGTGAGAATGGGAGTGGGGCGGAACTGGTTTGTCAGGGGAAGTGAACCCGCTCACTTATCTTTGGGCATTACCAAGGCCTGTTCTACAGCGAAGATGACTGTTTCATCACAAGTTGCTGAGAGTTTTGGTGAGATGCGTGTGTGTTTGCCTGCCTTCCAGTTAAATGGAGATGAAGCTGCAATATGAACTCCATCCCCATTGGCCTGGATTTTCTTCTGTACTCCTTGAAGCCTGACATCTAGGTTGATTGTGTGAAACCCATCATGAGGATGTTATTTAATGTTGTATTATAATGTCACCTCCACTAATTATTCAGTGCTGCAGCAGCAAAGTATTATTTGTAAGAATTTGGTTATTTTTATACTTATATCCACTCTTAAGTCTGGCGTTCTAGTCAGAAAAAAAAGGAAAAACAAGATGCAATAAAATTAATACCATTCCCATTGGTTTTCTCTTAAACAAGTGTGTAAGAAGGTTTTTTTGGTTTTGGTTTTTTTTGTTTGTTTGTTTTGGTTTTTTGTTTTGTTTTTTGTTTTGTTCTAATGAACATACCACTTAAATAGCTGAAGTGAACTTCTGAGTGTCAAATCAAGGCAGTGAGTCACCTCTCCATCCTCAGTGACCGGAAGTGAAGAAACACTGTTAAAGATGAGTGAGTGGATGGGTGGGTGGATAGATATAGACAGACAGACAGACAGATAGATGGCTAAATGGGCATCCCTAGCGATAGAGGCCTAATTCAGATTTCTCATCCTCTCTCTTTAAATCTGAGGGTGTAACTAGGTCAGACACTAGGCGTTTGCTTCTGACTGCTGCCTGGACCACTCCATGCCAAATTCTCTTGTCTTGGAGATGAAATAGTAAATAGCATGTCTGAGATTCTGTGGAACTTTAAAGATCAGGTCATGGAATGTGGCTACATGGCCAGATAAATGTTTACTAGTGTACTCATTAGTTGCTTCAATGGAACCCTCTCATATACTTTCTGAAGGGAAAAAAACCCTGGCACTAGTGAACTAGTGAAGACCTCTAACTACAGCCTGGAGCATGAGGGCATCTTGTCAGAAGGCTCAATCCGGCGGTAGCTCATCAAACATTCCTGAATGGCCAGTACCATCTTTCTCTGTGACCCCTCCCTCCACTCGGCCTCTAGGAAACAGTCCCCACTGAGATGTTAACTGGGTCTTGAAGTTGGTCCCTTCCAGTTCCTGCTCAGCCCATCCAGACATTGGAAACCATAACAATTCCAGATCTCCCCTCCAATTGTATGCCTTTAAGGGGTGCACTGTGATGTTTGATTTGTTCTCCCCAGTTCCACACAATCTCAAAATAGAGGATCTTGCTCCCCTTTCTTAATGCTAAATAATATTCATTATATACATCTATACCAGTTTCTTTAGCCACTCATCAGTTGATACTTAGGTTATTTCTACATCTTGGCTTTTGTGACTAA